AAGGATGCTGAGAAAGTTAGTTTATTTTGAACAAGTAAAGCAAAAAATAAATAGTAAAAAAAAATAAAAATAAAATAACTTATTTTAAATAAAACTTCAGTAAATATTTTCCATATACTCATCAGTTATAATGTATATATACAGTGAAACCTCCACTAACGGACACCTCCCAATAGCGGACGTTTTTTGAGGAACGGGGACATTTTCACTACTTTTTCATTGAAAAACCTCTGAATAGTGGACTCTCCGAATAACGGACATTATTTATGGTAAATCCCTAATCTTTATTTGAAAATAATACGTATTCACATTCGTATTTATTCTCGTAATAATGTAATTACGATAACAAACTCTTTATGGGAAGATAAGATTACGACAAATTTGGTTATCGGTGAAACCTTTAGGTGAAAAAGGTTATGACAAAAGTATGGGAGTTAGTGACGGTTTTCGACGCGATGACGACTACGTTAAAACGAAAGCGGTTGTCGCTTCGCGAAAAAATTGACATTTTAGATTACCGTAAAAACAACGGAAACATAGGAATTCGTGCACTCACAGAAAATTTTCAAGTTGGAAAAACACAGATTGCCGATATTGTGTCTAACACAGAAGAAATTTATAAAGTGTGGGTCGAAAATGGAAATGAAGAACGAAAATTAACGAAATTAAGAAAATGTGAAGGCAGTGTGATTGATAAAGAACTTTTAGTCTGGTTTAGCAAAACTCGGGAAAAAAATATACCAGTTTCCGGACCAACAATACAGGAAAAGGCTAAACAACTTGCTGAAGTTCACGGATTAAATGATTTTAAAGCTTCAAACGGGTGGCTTGAAAAATTTCGAAACCGGCATAACATTTCGTATAAATCTGTTTGTGGTGAAGCTTCAGCCGTTGATAGAATAGCTGTTGATGACTGGAAGAAAAAATTACCAAACATAATCGATAAATATGAAAAGCGAGACATCTTCAATGCCGACGAGACTGGGCTTTTTTTTAAAGTTCTACCTAATAAAACTATAGCATTTAAAAATGAAACTTGCAGCGGTGGAAAAGTTTCAAAAGAACGGTTGACTGTGCTATTGTGCTGTAATATGATTGGTGAGTTTGAACGTCCTCTCGTCATAGATAAGGCAAAACGACCGCGAGCTTTCAAAAAATTAGACGTAAATAAATTTCCCGTTGACTGGTGTTGGAATAAAAAGGCCTGGATGACGACACAGATTATGACAGACTGGCTTATGAAATTTGATAAATAAATGATAAAAAGTCGAAGAAAAGTACTACTTTTTGTCGACAATGCAGCTCCTCATCCCCATCTTAAACTACAAAATGTTGAGCTAGTCTTTTTCCCCCCAAATATGACGTCTCACTGTCAACCTCTGGACCAAGGCATAATTCAACAATTTAAAAAGCTCTATCGTAAGCAACTGTTACAAAAAGCAGTTGCTAATTTGGTTGCTGGAGACTCTAGCACTATAAATGTTTTGGATGCTGTGTATTGAGTGGCTTCTGCTCAAGCCCAAGTCAAGCCTGAAACTGTAAAAAAATGCTTCTTACGATGTGGTTTCAGTCACCAAGACGATGAACAATCAGGACAAACAATTGATACCGAAGAACAATCGGTAATAGATGAAGAACTTTTAGCTCTCGTCACACTGATCGACAACAGTGTTGAAGTAAAGACGTATTTTGAATTAGACAAATTCATATCCACCCACGACACCAATTTAACGGGCACCGATGATCCTGATGAGCCCGATGAGCCCGAAAATGAGGAAGAAGACGAGCCCGAAGAAGCAGAAACTTCAAAATATCAAGTAACAAGTTTACAGGATGCTTTGTCTGCTGTAAAGAGCGTGAGTAATTTTATTTCATCAATAGAGGTAAAGAGCAGTTCTATTTTTACTTCTGCTGTAACATTAGCAAATGATATTACCAATGATATTGAACAGAGACGGTGTAATTATAAACAGACAAAGCTCACGGATTTTTTCAAACAAAAATAATTTAAAAATACATGTTCATAATTTTGATTTTGATTGTAAATATACTTTAAATAATAATAATTATTAATAATATTTACATAATTTGTAAAAATATAAAAATATAACAATTTATAATAAATAATAAGTAATATCATTATATGTATATCCATATACATACATAGTAGATTATTATACAAATAAATTTCAAAAATGTATCCCCTCTGAATAACGGACACCTCCGAATAACGGACAACATTTTGGTGACCGAGAGTGTCCGCTATTCAGAGGTTTCACTGTATATATATATATATATATATTTCATATCTACGTAAATAGTAGGTATACGAGTACATGCACCTGCTACAAGAAATATATTTTTAATTTCTCCTTTTATTATGCATTTTTACTTAAAATATTTTCTAAATAATTGTCAATGACTAACACTAACTGATTTTCAAAAACAAATAATCTCATATAATAAAATAAAAGTATTAAACAGTTTTAATTTGTGTTTGGTTGAAATTTAATTTTCTAATTTGTATAACTTATAAAAAAAAAATTATTTTAAATATACACAAATGTAGTAAAGACGAAATTTTGGTGTATTTAAATACCAATTGCGTTATTAAATTTTACAATTTTATCTTTATTACACATTTCATGTGTTTGGTGTTATGTGTGTAAGCACTTAAGTCACGAATATAATGGTTAAATATCATTGAGGTAGTATTTAAGAAGTGTGTTCAATGTATAAATAAGATCGTTTACTTCTTTCACAACACTGTACATTACATCGCATATACGATACGCCTTAAAAAACGTATACAGCCTTAAATTTAATACGCATATATTATATATTTATTTAAATTTTAAATTGATTATTTAAAATAGATAAATTATAAACTTAAAACATCAAAATTGTAAATTTTCCACCAAATTTATATAGATTGGTATAATTTGTCTGATAAAATAAACCCACCAGCTTGGAACAAAAATAATATTAGTATAATAATAATATAATAATCTAAATAAAATGTTATCCCAAAACTTTTTGAAAAAATCCTCGAACCTAAATTAAAAGATTTATTCAATCACATTTTTGTAAATGAACAACATGGTTTTTGTCGTGCAAAATCGAGTTGCCCGAGTTTTTTTGGGTTACATTCGAATAGCAGCCCAAAATTTAAAATTAAATTAATTTAAATATGTAAATTTAAATTTAAAAAGCTTCATTTTCCTTCGCGTTTTTATACAGAATTAGGACTGTCTGCAGCATCAGTAGATACTGCAGGTAGGTTAAAAATGATGTTTTGCGTGAAAACATAAACGAATAATTTTCACGTATTGTATTTTAGCATCGAATACTGATATTCGAATGGTCGCCACGGACGCGTGGAATCACATAGCAGTCCCCATCGTCGAAAGCGTATATCGAAATACCGCATTACCGCCGTAATCGCGATAATGTTAACCTGTATATATGTAATTACTAATTAGTATTGTGCATTATTTTATATTTCATATTGTATTATCGATTTACCTATGTTCCTATAATAATGTAATATATGATACGGCTCAAGGGGGGTGTCATATCCACCAAACACCCCCATTGTATACGCCACTGTTTTCTTCTTATTTAAGTGAACCCTCCCAGTTAGTAAAAATTGGTAATTCTATTAATATTATTAACGTTACGTCAGGAGTTTCACAAGGTGGTCGTTTATTCCCATTGCTTTTTCTATTATTTAACCTGAATAAATGTTTAAATATTTGTAATTTTCTATTATTTGCCGATGATATGAAATTATACATGTCTATTCGTTTTGATGAAGATACCATTTCCCTACAACACGATTTAAATCAATTCTTATTATGGTTCTCATTAAATGGCATGTTCCTTAATACTTTTAAATGTGTTCATATTTCTTTCAACCGCTCTAAATCCCATATAAATTCAATTTATTATATAAATGTCGTCCCACTTAATTCTGTTAATCAAGTACAAGATCTAGGTATTATTCTGGCAGCTGATTTATTCTTTAATGCACGTATAAATAAAATATATGGGACCAGTCTTCGTATGTTAGGGTTCATCAAACGTAAATGCCATGATTTTAATAACCCTTTATGTTTGAAAGTATTATATTGTTCATTAGTAAGATCATCACTTGAATTTGGTACGGTATTATGGAATCCAAATCAATTACAATTTATCAACAAATTAGAAAAAATCTAGAGAAATTTCCTTCGTTTTTATGCGTATAAAACAATGAGATTAAACCAAAATATGGATGTGATTGCAAAAATTGCAGGTTTAAGTCACTAAAAACCAGACGATTAGTTTTTGATGCTACTTTTGTTTATAAAATCTTGAATGGAGAAATTGACTGTCCTGAAATATTACAAAAAAATTGATCTTAAAGTACCCTATTTCAATTTTAGAAGTAATCCTCCTTTTGCTATACAACAGTAAAAAAAAAAATTACTTTTCTAATAGTCCGATGTGTCGCCTACCAACGTTATGCAATCAAATAAAAAATTTTAATTTTGATTCTTGCACCACGTTAAAGACTTGTATTTATAATTCAAATAATTAATATAAATTTTCACTTAATAATTATTACTGTATTCCTACCCCTTGGGATATTTATTTATTTATTGATTTTATAACAATAAATATTATTATTATTAATATTCTATAACAGATTACTGTACTCATAAATATTATGTACAATGTTTTATGCACGACTTAATCAATCAATCGAGTTTGTTGGTTGAATAAATAAGAAAAAGGTTGATACGTCACAAACCCATTAATTATAAATATACATAAAAGTAACAATATTGGTTGAAACGTCGAGTGGAAAACTAATAATGTTCGAATTAATAATATTTATCGGTTTATTTTGTGACGATGACTGAGGCGTTATTATTTCTCATTGCTAATTCCTTTCGAAGAATAATAGTTATTAATGTTTCTTATTTAGAATCAGAACATGTCTAAAGTGACTGCGCACTGAGCCATTCGTACGCGCGCGTCCGTGGTTCAAAAACGTCGTGTTTAATCGCTCAAAACCAAACATGGGCGATCCGGCGCGACCAAACGTGATTAGACGCTACCGAACGTGCGCCTCGTTTTCTTGTGCGAATACAACCCGTATGGCGACTGTTTTTCAAACTACTTTAAAGCCAATTTTATTTTTAGGCCAGATTATGGGTTTAATTAATTTTTCGTATACATTAGAACCTACCGGACTGTTAATTCGAACTTCAAACTCACCATATTATTCATTTCTCGAAATATTCCGAATGTGCTTTTTGATAATATGTACCTATCTGGTTCATGTCAGAGGAATTTATTATGTGCAGCAATTCCGTTTGATAAAATTTTGGGTTATCATAATCTTCGCAAGAGTATCGGAAACATGGATAATAAAGTAAGAAAAAATAACGTTTAACATTTTGATTGTTTTAAACATCTTGATAGTTATGTACACCAGTGGCGTGTTGAAATCATTTTCGGTAAGAAGCAAAAATGTTTACAAAGTCAGATATCCGTCCCCACCAATTATTGAATTTACAAAATAATATTTTTATTTTTTGTAAGTTTCTTTTTTTAGTATTTATTATTATTGTCTTGAAGTCGTATTTTATTATTGAAAAATTTTATAATTTGTATAAAATATTGTCGGTAGTGGGGACACCCAAGATTTTGTAATATTTTTTACAACATGCGAGTATTTTATACTACTTATATATTATTATTATTAGGACCAGGATTTTCATGCAAATTTATACTTATCTAAAATTCACTTAGAATAATTAGGTCCGTTTCGCCAGCACTGCCACTTTCAAATCTTAATACCTAACTTTGATGGTATTTTGTACTTTTTTTGTACAGTTTTGTACAACCAAAATACAATTTTTTATAATCCCCCCAACACGAGAAAAACCGATTTTGTCATGCGTGTGCTGGGGAAACGTTTACTTAGCACTGCCAATGACCAATTATTGTCTTATAAAAATTTAATTTATACAGTATTATTTACATTATTTTTTACAACCAAAATAAAATGTTATACATCTACCCAAACACTATAAAATTCAGTTTTACCAGCTCTATTGTGCTTCTAGCCAAAACGCTGTACAATACTACTGTTTAATCTAAATAAAGTGATAGCTGATAATAAGTTAATAATAACCAAATAATATCAATAATCTGAGTTTACAGCCTACAGTATATGGTGGCTTAAGTCATAGACCTAATATATAATGGACTGCTTTTAGAGAGAGAGGACCCGTGTCAACATCTATGCAAGAAAGACAAAGCTAGTATTGGAAAACCATAGAGATTATAAGTACTTTACTCCTTGGAATATTGTTATCATATTTATGAATACTGATTACTGGCTATGATAGTCCGTGCTGATTGTTGAATAATGAATAGAGAATTAGTGAATATTATGAACTAATAAGACTAAAAAATAATTTTAAATTAATAATGTAAATTAAATTAAAATAGTTGGTTATTTATTCATTAAATAGTATATGAATTTGTATTGTTTTTATGTCAGTTATACAGAAAATTATAATTGTGAATTTAGAAAAAAATATAAATTAAATACTAATAAAAATAAGTAAAATACTTAAATTTATTAGTTATTTCTTATTGATGATGGAAGTGATTAAGTTTTGTGTAGAACTGTCTAGTGCGTTTGTCATTTTCATTTGTAGTCTTATTGATATGATGGATTTTTATGCTAATATACATATATATATATATATATATATATATATATATATATATATATAATTATATATTATAATTTATATTTAATAATAAATAATATTAATGTAAATAATTAATAATTAAATAATAATATGACTATTTCTTCGCACCTTGCAATCCTACTTGATACATTGTTAATTTATTTAGTTTTTTTAATTTATCTCATATCTTTTAACACACAATAATATATTCCAAAGATCTAAAACTGCTTATAACGCGTTTGGTTTTCCCATACTAGCTCTGTCTCTATCGCACGGATGTTTACTTCATTGATTTACATGACAATCAATCGTTATGCGCGGTCCATCATATAATAGGTCTATGGCTTAAATGTAAATAACAGTAAGTAAAAATAGAAAAACCGTTTGCACTAAAAGTATTTATAAATTATAATTAATGATAGTCCCTAGGAATGCGGCACGCAATGACTAAAATAGATATTTTATTAAGAATAATAATTGTTGATTATCAGCAGTGCCGTCGTTAGCGAACAGGCAATTTAGGCAATTGCCTAGGGCCTCCCACTTAAAATAAATTTAGGAGCCCACAGTTTTGTCAAGTTAGAATAGTTAAATATAAACTGTAAAAATACCATCTTCTTAAGAATCAACTAGATACAATTTCCTATTGGAAACCTACTATGGTTATGATGATCGAAGGAATCCTTCTGGTCATAATTGTATGCACAAACACGAAACTTAAAACGCCTACACATTATGGTAAAACCAATACATTCCACGCGTCACTAAGAATCTAAAATTTATGAATAAGCTAAATTAATAATAATTTTTTGTTTAAATTTGTTTTCAGGTTAATTAATGGCATCGTAGAATATGATAGAAAACATAAAACTTTTTCACCAGAGTTGTTACTTTATAAACGTAGTCCGAGTAAAACATGTTGGAATATTATTTTATTATCATTCTTTATATATTTTATTGGATATGAAACATGTGTCTTTTTCTTATGGCGACCAAAATCATTAGACCTCAGCGTTATTCCAATTTATTTGTTCAGTATGCCTAACATAATAGACTTTACAATTCTTATAGTTGTGTGTTTTTTCCTTAGTAATATAGGATTTAGATTTCTAGCGTTAAACAATTTTTGGAGATGTCTTCCGGTAGATTTAGCTCCCATTTCCGGCGAATGGTCACATTCTGAAATAGTCATTCTGATAGAAAATATTAGATTGCTGCACGCTGAACTTTCTGAAATATTAAAAATATTCAATTTAGGTTACGGTCCACTGTTGTTAGGTTACTTTGTAGGCAGTTTTATTGATTTGATGTATGTATTTTACTTGATGATTTACCATGAATTTAAATTACCAAATCGCAGTTTAACCGAAAAAATCATAAAATATTTGCCTTTACACATTTTCAACATACAAATCATAGTTTTTATAATCTTCATCGTCGTGGCTGCTTCGTGGATACACGATATGGTACAAAAAATATTCATAATATTACATCATTATGAAATTATTAAATAATACTCATATACCTATATATATATATATATTAAATGATATTTCAACAGTAAGTGTAGCAATGGCGTAGCTAACGTAATAAATACTTCTGAATAAGTTTTAATATTTTTACTATTAATTAATTATATTAACTGAAGTTATTCTAAATATTAACTAAAGTATTCTTTATGAAAAATAAAAAACAAAATATTATCAACAAGAATATTTTTCTCTTTTTTATCTCTTACGAGAGCTATGCCTTCATTCACTGGTTCCACTAATATGATGAGTTTTGTATGGTGTTTACAGAAAAAAGAAATTATATCATATTTACGATTGTACAAGATATCGTGTTTACCGTTCGACATAAAGATACAAGTAACGTAAAGTCATATAATTAATATTAAGTATTTGATTCAGTTTTTAAAATATATCAAACAATAATATTTTATAAGTTTTATCCTTACCTTAGGCTGGGAATTCAGGAGTTTTTTTTTCTATTAAATCATTAATACTAATTAATTTTTTTAACGGGTAAAGATTGCTAAAATGATATAGGGACGAATTATACCGACTAATTTATGATCAATTGAATAATACATATTGTTACTTTAAACAGTAGTTTATCAATAAATTTCCTTTTTAGTTTCTAGTGACTATATAGGTATTCTTTGAGTGTTAAAAACGTTTGTGTATCACTTGAAAGGAAAATGTTATTATGAGAAGTTAAATTATTATTACAACGTACATTATAAAACATTTATTATAAATAATAAACAAAATTAAAAAATTCAATTGAAATAATTATTATTAAGAAGAAGTACAAAGTTGTTACTAAAAATCAGTGGCGTAGCCAGGAATTATCCAATGGAGAGAAGGTTATGTTTTTGTACATTACTAAAATATATTGCCCCAGTGTGGTAAAATTGTAAATGATCCACTGAGTTGTACGCAAATTGAATAATACATTTTTGATTAGACGAATAATGATACCTATTTGTGAAAGTTATTATTATTTATAATTATTATACAGAGTATACAATTTATTGACTAAATATAGATACACAGATAAAATTAAAAAAAAAATCTTTATTCAATTGTAATATAAGTATTAGTATAAATTAAAAATATTTATATAATATTAGCATTTATATTCTAAGTTAGGTATAATGTATAAGTTATAGCAATCTTATTTTTCTTGAGATTTTAGTCATCAAAAACTTCATCTGTAGTAACTCGTAAAACTATTTCAAGATGAATATTTAGTAATGACTATTTAGTCGATTTTCTCCAGTAGTATTTCTGAGGTATGTTCTAAATCTTTTTAAGGTAGAAAATGACCTTTCACTGCTTGCTATAGTTACGAGAAGTGTAGCTAATTATTTGCAGAAGTTTATAAATCGATAGAAAAATGAGTGAGTTACATGTTATAAGAGCTGCCAATGAATTTTTTGTTTTTTTTTTGCTCCAATAAATTTTTGGGTCCATGTTAATACTTCTCTAATTACTGAATTAGGACTACATATTAAATCTTCACAATACTTTTATGTCAAACTTTTAGTGTTTTCTTCTTTATCTGGCAAATTATTGTTTGGCAAGAGACAACAAAAATTGGCGATCAGATATTTATGTACAATGAACTTATTATGAATTTGTCTAATAAAGTTAACTAAAAATGGGATTAACAATGATATTTTATAGTAATCGTTTCGGTAGGTAGTTTTTATATTAAAAAAAAAAAAAATTTTGTGCTTATAACACGAGGTAAAGTTATTTCAATATCAAGTGACATACATTTTTCTTTTACTTCCATGAATATTTTTTCAAATTCTTCATTAGCATTTTTTTAAATATTTTTTAACACATTAGAAACATTATTTGCCAATGACATGGGTTCAACTAAATCAATATTTTGATATTGAAGAAGTTTACTGAGAGGTAAACTTATTCTAAATAATTTTGCTAGTAGATACGTTGCTGATTGAGTAGATATGAGTTGATAAACTCCTGATAACGAATCTCTGTTTGGTTATGTAGAAATAATGGATAATCTATCAAGAACTGCATCAAATAACTCCATAAATTATTTATGGAGTCATACCGATTGAACAATCTTGTAGAACAACGTAATTTTAATTTTACAATCTGAGATCCAGGACAAGAAACCAGTAAAAAAATATTAACTTTATTTCAGACTTCGAGATTCGATGGATAAAATGGGTCTATTTTAGAATATAATAAGATGGTTAGATGTATTTACTTAATAAGCTTTATAATATATACTAAAAATGTAATAACTATGTATACGCATATTTAATTAAATTTAAGAATATTTCACAAATTAGGTAAAAATGTTTATGAATCAAATTTCAATATCACAATTGGACGAAATCACAGCATATGGATTTTTCACTGTTAATATAAGTCTTGTTGTAACAGTAAGTTATAACATGATATATACATTAATATAACTTGTACCACTCAAATACTAGTAATAATGCAATACTATTGCATTATTAAAAAATCTGCTATTATATTTCATTCAATTATAACTTAATTAAATATTACAGATAATTGCCTTATTAATGACTGGATTTTCAACATTGATACAACTGAGAAACCATCCGATTATTATGGAATTAAGCAATAATACTTATCAATTCCATCAAGATATATGAAAAACGGTAAAATTAAAGAAAATTTATAAAATTTACGAAAAATTGTAAAATTTATGAAATTTATGCAAAATTGTAAAATTTATGAAAAATTATAAAATATATGAAATTTATGCAAAATTGTACAATTTATGAAAATTGTAAAATTTATAAAATGTATGAAAAATTGTAAAATTTATAAAATTGATGCAAAATTGTAAAATTTAAGAAAATTATAAAGTTTATGAAAAATTATGAAATTTATGAAAAATTGTAAAATTTATGAAATTTTTGCAAAATTGTAAAATTAATGAAAAATTATAAAATTTATGAAATATTGAAAAATTGATGAAAATTTTTAAATATGAAATTTATGCAAAATTGTAAAATTTAAGAAAAATTGACAAAAGTTAAAATTTATGAAATATTGTAAAGTTTATGAAAAATTATGAAATTTATGAAAAATTGTAAAATTTATAAAATTTATAAAAAAATTTAAGATTTATGAAAATTGTAAAATTTATTCAAAATTGATGCAAAATTGTAAAATTTATAAAATTTATGCAAAATTGTAAAATTTATGAAAATTGTAAAATGTATAAAATTTATGAAAAATTGCAAAATTGTAAAATATATGAAAATTGTGATATTGATGAAATAATTTAAATATTTTCAAATCGTTATAGAAGACCCCCTCTTCCTCTTCAAAATAAAAATTTTCAAATCGTTATAGAAGACCCCCTCTTCCTATTAAAAAAAAAATTTCAAATCGTTATAGAAGACCCCCCTCTTCCTATTCAAAAAAAAGTTTCAAATCGTTGTAGAAGATCCCCCTCTTCCTATTCAAAAAAAAAAAATTTCAAATCGTGATAGAAGAACCCCCTCTTCCTCTTCAAAAATAAGTTTCAAATCGTTATAGAAGATCCCCCTCTTCCTATTCAAACTCAATATTTTCAAATCGTTATAGTAGACCCCCTCTTCCTATTCAAATAAATGTTTGATGTTTTTTCATTTTTATATTTCGTCACCGTTCGCAGCACTCCTACCTCTTCCTTACATCCTTATCCTTATGCACATCCTTACATCCTATATTAAATTAATAATTTTTTTCTAGCAAAATATTCTCTAGAAATAATTTTTATGACAAAACAACGTTTGTCGGGTCACCTAGTTTAATATATAAAGTGAACACCTATATTATAAATTATTGATGTCACAATATGAAAATAGATACAGTGAAAATTGTCTAAAGCGGAATTGCATGGGATCAACTAAAAATTCTGCTTTAAGCAGTTTTCTGCTTTATTCAATAAAACTGAAAAAATCCGGATTATTCAATTCAAATAAATACCAAAGAATATTTTTTTTAATTATTGTTTTAAATAATATAATTCATTAAAATTTAACTAAAATATAGGTTTTACAATACATTAAATTTAAACTGGAATATAGGGTTTTTATTACATATTGCATACTATGGAAATTAAATATGACGTATAAACATTTAGAATTTCCAAAAATGATGAAGGTTTTTTGCTTTGTCACGGTTGCTGCTATTTTTTATTCTATGTTATATTTTGGCATTTTAATATATAATATGATTTACGGAAAATAAAATTAAAGGTGTACGTACGACTGTTGGTGTAAGACTGTTTCACAGTTATAAAAAAGAAAGTTCGTATCGTGCCCAAACTACCCAAAGGAATAAACTGGATTTTGTAGGACAGAACGGGTGACTTACTATAATTAAAATAAGAAGAAAAATAAGACTATGCCCTTTTGGTAAATGACGGGCCGTAAAGCGCCGACGTACTATTACGAATCGATACTAAAGATATACAGTATTAAGGACGGGCGCCCAAGGGGTGGGAAATGTAAATCTAATAATAATAATAAATAATAATAGTAATAATAGTAATACTAATAATAATAATCGTAGTACAACGTATATATATAAAGAAAAACGCCGTATCGGCAGTAATACAAAAATATTTGGTTAATATAACAATAACAACAAAAAAAAACCTGTCTGCGACAGATACAATTGGACCGGATTCGGCAGCGTGTCCAAAATTGACGTTAATAACGATGACGCCCACGCAACTTGACTCGTCCTAGTGAAACTATGGTAGCACGTACACCGGCCGACAGAGGTGCACGGTCTTCGATGGACACAACCAAAAACGGTAACGGTGCCAAAATAAAACACACCGCCGTGCGAGAGGTCCGTACCACACGAGAGAACCCACACGACAGGCCGCCCGACCTGTTTTTGTCGCGATATATCACCCGAGTTAGTCAAAGGCCGGGAGGGGAAAGAATGTTCTCGCTCAGACTTATACATATCCAAAAGTTAGATAACGATTACTGGTTCGAATTGGTATGGCGTGTATTAATTGAACAAAGTAAAATATTATAAGTCGAAAAGTTTCTTAAAATGTTTAAATTAGTAGAATTTAATGATAATTAATTTCGTTCTAATATGTTTTTACACACTAGCTTGTATTAGTATAATCCAGTTACAAATATCTTGTTCGGAAAACATATTAGAACGAAATTAATTATTATCAAATTCTATTAATTTAAACATTTTAAGATACTTTTTGACTTATAATATTTTATTTAAAAAGTTACCTACAAAAATTCAAAAGTAAAAACCCTTTTAAAGGTTATTTATACTCATACTTCATAATAGTATCATAAATAATAAATAGGCATTGCAATTCGATAATATTAAATAACACATAATACTAGATAACAAGGTTATAAGGAACAGTTTTTAAAAAGCGCGGCAAAATCAAACGACCAATCAGAAAGCTAAAATGATAACCGGTGCCGAGACCGACCCCAGAATGCAGAGAATAATGCAGAATATGCATCCGGAACACCGGGAACAGCTGTATCGAAAACCCCCGGACGAGTGTACCGTAAACGTAACGTTAGACTCATTGATTCGCTGTAGGTCTTCATATGCGCCATTTTAGTTTAAAAATATTATTTTAATAGAGATGGACTTAAAAATGAACAAGAATCATTAACAAGATAAAAATTGAGAACTTATAATTACAAATAAATATTCGTAACAATTTTTAATATTTAACTAAATAATGTTATTTGTTATTACTTTAACACCGCGATTCGCATTCGCTACGTAACAGTAAAAATTAAAATAATTTAAAAAAAATATAATTACTTTATAATATTTATAATAATAATTATCTGCAGAAAAATGTTAAAATGCCCCGATTGTGATTGGAAGAGCATTATCATTTTTTTTTTTGCCAAGAAATTGGATAAATAAACCTTGTGTAATAATTTACTATTTACGGTTTTTATTTTTTGTCCTTGACTAATCGGTTTTTTTGGTCTTCTTTGGCACATTTTATGAACATTTAATGTGATTTTGCTATTGTTGACGATTAATAATTAAATATATATGAATATTACAATTATAATAATTTTCTTTGTACCCATTAAAAAAATTTTCAATTACCAGTTTTAATAATTTAACATTTTTCTTAAGTATTTTCATATTATTATCATTTTAATTGAAAACATATTTAGAAAAATTTCTCAAAGCACTTAGAATGAATGTTGCCTGTAATTTCTTATACAATCTGGAATGACATTAAATTTTTTAACTCGTCAAAGATTTCAGTATATTTTAAAAGCATTTAATTTTTGAACATACGTGTATTGACTTTTTATAATCATTATTTTCATTTTCTTATTTGTATTAGACCAATATACAGTACCCTGCTAATAACGCCCTAAGGCAACAATATTTCACGCCCTCTCCACTACCCGAATTTTTTGTTGTAAAATTTACTTCACATTTTTAGCGTATAATTTACTTTATTCCTTATTTATTTAAGTACCTATGTTTAATATTTAATAATTGAAGTATTTATTTATTTATTATTTTTATTACTATTATTATTATTAATATTATTACAGGCATATTTATTTTGTTTTGATATAATTTAAAAATTAACTTTTCGTTTTCTTGGTTAAATTATAGAAAAAATACTTTTTTACACAAAACTATAAATAAAAATTATAAAAATATTTCTATTCATAAATTACATATAATTATGAGTTATGAGTTATAATTATGAGTACTGATTATGTTCGTTACGACACCTCCCGCGGTACTCTACCAATGTCATCATTCCACGACTGGTCGCGTCCCGAAAAACAGTACATATTTTTCATATAAACAGATACTGTCCCGCCTTGGAACACGTACCTTAGCCGCTTGGAGCACTGCGTTTCGTTGACATCCATAATTTTTTTTTTAACATTTGTATGAACTATTTCCGTGTACATATATGTTCAATTAAATTTTTACGTCATCCGGACTTTTTAATTTACTGGGCAAAACAATTATTATACACTTCATTACATGAGTTTGTTTCGCGATTAGCGTTGCTAAAGTGATAACAAATAACAGTATTTAGTTAAATATTAATAATTTTCACGAATATTCATTTATTTGTAATCATAAGTTCTTAATTTTAATCTTGTTAGTGATTCTCGATCATTTTTTGGTCCGTCTCCATTTAAATAATATTTTCAAAAATAAAATGGCATATATCAAAAAGACAACATTTGTTCCATCCGTCTCCTTGAAACGACGTGACAATTTGGTGGCATCCAATTACACCAATTTTCCAAAATTTATACCATCATATCAGGCAAAAAGTGAAAAACCGAACATGTTGTCCTTAATATCGATGGAATACCAACAAACATGGACAAAAGAAAAAAACGAATATTTGAAATCGCAAACAGCAAGAAATAATGAGAAAAAGAAGAACTGTTTGAAGTCAAAGACTAAAGTGAACCAACAAAAAACCGTACGTCCGAAAGTAACGGAAAAGCCTCTTGCAAAAAAGACAACAAAATACGATCATATTCAGTCCAGGTATAAAATAATTAATCAGAAACCTCGATCCCCGAGTGAAAATAATCTGATATCAAACGATCAACATAAGACAACAACAAAGTTTCGAAATAGAATCTAACATAAAAGCAACTCGTGATGTTTGGAATGGTATAGACTTAATACAGGGATTGGAAATTAATTTTCTAGTCTAATACCTTTGAAATGCCAATTGACCACTCGAAATATGTGTGAATTTAGTCAAGATGTAGGATGAAGCCTTTACTTAAATAGTATCTTGAAATAGCAAATTATTCAAAGTTACCGCACGTAAAGGCTTAATCTTACATCTTGACTACATTCACACATATTTCGAGTGGTCAATTGGCATTTCAAACATATTGGACAAGAAATTTCATTTCCAATCCCTGTATTAATTTATGAATTTATTTTTATATTTTTTATGGAAATAGTATTCATTCAACTTTTACGATGAAATAAACCTTATAACTTTGTAACCTAATATAATATTATAGTTCTTGATAATGTACGAAATTAAGTTACTGAGCATATCTACTAATGTATACTTTGTACTATTCGATATTCTTTATCCATTATTAAGTCGTTAATTAAAATCAATGGAAACACGTGATGTTTAATGCGAATAAAGATGGAATTCAAGAATAGCTTTTTTATATACAAATAATTACACACTACACATCACTAGTCATTGATTTTAATAAACAACTTAATAACGGATAATGAATATCGTATAATACACGATATACGGTAATAGATGTGCTCAGTAATTTAATTTCGTAACTCATCGAGAATCATAATATTATATTAAATTACAAACAATATAAACAAGGTTTATTCTATTGTTTATTTTGAATGAATACTATTTTCATAGTAGTAAAAGTAGATCACTTGATTATCTCACTTAAATAAATCGTAACTCGGCGTTTTTCTTATTAACATTATTACATAATAATTAAATATTTCCTTTACTGTGTAAAAGATCGAACTTATTTAACATCGTATGATCGATTACTTTAAATTTGTTAAACATTAATAATGTTGTAAATATACTACATTTATTTTAACCAGTATAAAACGCGTTGTTGATTGTTTAAACAGTATAACATGAAAATATAATATTGTATATAAGTGTGTTGAAATATTGTTTTATAGGTACATTTTTACAGACAGATTTTGAAATATTTGTTTATTTATAGGCCAAATGTCCAATCTTAATAATAGACGGAGATGAAACGTCCGTGGACTCATTTTTTTGTCGGGGTCGAAATGGCATGGGCGTAACGTCAGCAATTCCTAATATTTATCTTCCTATATTAATTCCCCTAGTTCCTAAATTTTTATTATTATTATTATTATTTATTATTATAGGCAAATTCTCTAACAAATTAGCAGACTAGAAAAATTAATTATTATTTTTTACCCGAGTCAAAAAAACTAATGTCAACCAGACTTAAAAATACCGAGATAAATACAAATAGTAGACAAAATGATAGTGATAAGATTAAATATATATAAATTTGCTGAACCCTTCCCCCCATAAAAAGTTCCTGGCTACGCCACTGTACCAAATTGTATTATCAAATTTATTTCGAAAATTGGAGAAGAATGTCAATTAATGTTTAAAATCATTGTTTTAATTTATTTTTTAGATGTTATGTTATTTTAAGTTTATATTTCGTTTATCATTTGTTTATATTTTTCTTATAATCTTAATATTTAGTAATTATATTATTTTTTTAATTTTTATATTGTATTTCCTTGTAAATATATAACATATGTATAAAGAATATATCTACTCACAAGTAGAGCGTAGCTTGTGATGGAGCAGAAAGTTACATTTATAGATACTTTACATCAAAATAAATACATTTTATACATAACGATAATTTAAAATTTGAATGACAGAAAATATATTTATAATGATACATACAAACCTATTAATTATAGTAACATTTAATGTAAAGTATTAAAAAACTATTAATTTAAACATTTTAAGATACTTTTTGACTTATAATATTTTATTTAAAAAGCTACCAACTAAAAGTCAAAAGTCAGAAATCAAATTAGAAAATTATTATATTATATTATATTATATTCAACAAAAAGTCAAAAAATCATTTTAAGATACTTTTTGACTAATAATATTTTACTTAAAAAGCTACCTACAAAAATTCAAAAGTAAAAACCCTTTTAAAAATTATTTATACTCATACTTCATAATAGTACCATAAATAATAAATAGGCATATTCGATAATATTAAATAATACATAATACTAGATAACAAGGTTATAAGTAACAGTTTTTAAAAAGCGCGGCAAAACCAAACGACCAATCAGAAAGCTAAAATGATAACCGGTGCCGAGACCGACCCCAGAATGCTAATATGCGTCCGGTTATTATTTTTTATTAATCTGTTAAGAATATTGTGATACCGTTGTAAACTGTTATTGTTCGTAATGTTTACATTTTAAAAGTTTTGATTTTACTCTTATATTTTACTATTTTACTTATATTTAATAAGTAATATTATAATAAATTAATATTTATGGACTTAAACATTGAAAGTGATGCATTTAAGCAGCAGAAAAACGATATTAAACAATCTATTCAGCGTACAAAACCATTGCAAGCGAATCCTACTGTTGCCACTATTATTGCTAAGGTTGTCACTGCTAACACTCTCGAAAATAACAAATTAATTCCTGTCGGTAAATATGGATTTGCATTAGCAGGAGATGTGAAATTGAATTACTATCAACTCTTACTTTACGGTAGTAAAAATTCCATTCTTATAAATCTCTTATTAACTAAAGACTTCAAGTACAATGTAAATGAAAATAACTCAATTGGATTTCTGTCCAAAGTGAATTGGCATTTAGAGTTTGAAAATACTAATGATGCTGTGAGTTTTAATTCTCAATTAGCATTTGTGTTATGGAAACTTAATGGATGTAAAGAACTATATTGGGCTGACCTTTATTATCCTTCTCGTAATAGCAATGTAGCAAGATTTAATAGTGTGGTTGAGATCACGTATGTGGCAAATACTGTATCAAGTAAAAAATTTGGACCTCAAGTTTCTAGTAATATCAAAGATGATCGATATTTGAAAGTGAACATTAATGAAAATGGTTGGGAAAGGTCATTGTTAGGTGTTAATGTTAATACCCAGAGGATTGTATTCATACCAATTGCTGAAATGGGTGCTTGGAAAATTTTAACTGATGGTCGCCAATGTTTATGTTTGACCATGACTGTTCAAAATATTTATGAATTAAAAGGAGAAAATATTACTGATGAACCAGTTATTATAACACAAGAACACTTGAAAAAAGCTAATGAAAATCATCCTACTATAATTCAACCACTAGATATTGTTTATGATAATATTTCTGCCATACCATCAAAAAAATTATGTATTGAATCACTCTACGAAGAGTTTGAAAAATTAAAACTAGATAATATTAAAACTTATGAGAGACTTGCAAAATTAGAAGCATTGATTATTGAAAAAAAATCTGACAAAACAGAAAATTCAATTGATTCAGAATTAAAAAAATCAATGAAAATTATTTATAAAAGGTTAATAAAAGAGTTCCCTGTTGATGAAACTTTTTCTGGAAGTGAAATTCAAACAAAGATTAAAGATATTTTTTATAATATATTAGCATGTTCTAATCAATCTAATGTAAATTCTAATTGATCACATGTCTCATAGTTATGAAAAAATAATTTTATACATCAATTTACATAATTGTTAATTAATCTTGTTATGCTGCATGTCCAGTAATTATATTATAAATGAGATTTAATTTACAAAAATATTGTTTATAGTTTTGTATAACCTATTCATTTTATGATTTTTTTAGTATATATGTTATATTTGTGATTCTTAAACATATAAATTAGAAAACATTCATTATTTTACGATATTTGTACACCGAATACAACAATAAATATAAAATGTTTATATTAATAAGAACTAATTTATTATAATAGGTAATAACTGTAATTATTAAAATAATAATAATAATAATAATAATGATAATTATAATCATTAAATAAATAATTTTTGTACATTTTTTAAAAATGTTAGTTATATTAATATTTCGGACAATTTCATTTTCAATATTTAAAATGGAAAGATTTGAATAACATGGTAAAAAATTAATAATTATGGTGTCGTTGCTACGACTGACGATATTGTTGTCGTTTTTATCACTTATCAACAATGGTTTTTCTTTGGTATTAGACTTCTCGGTTCCCGCCATTTACTAAAATGTTGTCATTCAGCTCTTGCTAATCTAAATACTAATCTAGGCTGGCCGCTGCGGACTGTACCGATAAGACAATGTAACTGACAATTGCGCTACTTCACCTTTTTTCTTCTATTTTGTAAATGTTGTGTTATAAAACATTTTAATGTACAATGATTAATGGTTCTATGGCATTACAATAATTACCCCCCCCCCCCAGACATCAAATGCGCTTACCGTTATTACATTAGATTTTGTTTAAAGAATCGTTGAAGTGACAAGTAGGACAAAATAAATTACATTTTATGTATACGTAATACAAAAGAGCAATAATTTGGTAAGTACCAATTTCATATTAAGTCGATATTAAATCGATTTTATATTTTAAGAAAACCATGTAAACAGTATTTTGTGTCTTTTTTTTTTAATTGTTTACACAAATTGTTTATTTTACTCTTGTACAATAAATATATTTTTATGACATATTTGCCTGGTGAGGTGCATTTGATAGGTCATTTTAAAATGTAATACATTAATACGATTAACACATAACTAATAATAGTTAAAAAAAAAAAATCTTTTTGAACAGCGATTACGTTTTTTATAATGAATAAAAATAATTAATTGAATATAAAGGAGATCTTGTTAAATTTACATGATATCAATTTGAAAGATATCAGTTTAAACACTATTAAAATATAAAAAACCAATAACAATATTTTCAATAAGTACAATATCAATTTTAGTAAAAGAAATCCTTAAAATAACAACATTAGTTAATGTAAAAAAATAGCACTCACATTCACAATTTCCCCGATTTCAGATGGTACAAATTATTTGTTAAGTATATGACGTATATTTATATATTAATTACCGTGTATAATAATTTATCTCTTACTATGCCTACATTTACTATGATTAACAATAATTTCTAATCCATTAGTTATATTATATTTATATATTATTTATCATTTAGAATTATGTATTATCCATCTCAATTTTTATCTCTTTTCTATGTACAAAAAAATATACAATTTATATAATTCTTGTCTTCAATTCTAGTTTAATTTTGAAGACACACTAATTAATTTCTTCTACCTGTATACAACATAAATATAAAACATGTACAATATATAAAGTATATGTTAATCAGACAATATCCAGATCCAGAGCATAGGTCTTGGAGGGACCAATTCCAAATTACAATAAATTATGAACATAATCTACATAATATTCTTGTATACTATATAATACACATACTATACCATTGATAGATCCAAGGGGGTATGGGGTAAATACCACCCTTTTGAGCTTAGCATATTAAATATTATTAAATTTATATTTTACTTTTACATTTTTGTTATTCGACCACAATATTCAATTCATAATAGCCTCATCAAATATACATATGCTATATACGTTTTATATACTCATCAGATTTATGAAAAATATACAATGTTATATATCTATATGTTCTTTACATAATAATAATAAAAATCAATCTATACTATTATATAAAATTGTTAGGGGTTTCTTACGACTGCACTAACCGAGAAAACTACTGGACCGATTTGACTGAAATTTTTTACTGTTATACCCAACATTGTTGAGTTTTTTTTATCACTTTTGTCAATAAAAAATAAGTATTAAGTTCTTAATTAAAAATTAAAAAATTGTTTACCTATATCATATACATAAAATATAAAATCAATAATGTTGTTACAATACTATTTATATTTTTTTTATCACATTTAAATACTATTAGTTGCATTGATTATAGTAACAACTTTGGTTACAAACGAAAATTCAGCCAGTTGAAATTGATAAAATTATTTCTGCTGAGATACCGTACAAAGACAGATATCTTATACTTTATGAAATAATATACAAGAATATGATTCATGGCTCATGTGGCGAGTTAATTAGATCGCCATGTATGAATGATGGAAAATGTAGTAAGAAATACCCTAGCAAATTGGTCAAGGATACTCAAACTGGAGATGATGGTTATCCGTCCCACCGACGGAGATCACCAGATGATGGAGTTTATACTGCAATATTAAAGGTTCAAGATCAAACAGAAATCGTGGTTGACAACTATTGGGTTGTACCATATTGCCCAGTGCTATCTAGGTGTTTTAATGCGCATATTAATGTACAATACTATCATTCGGTTAAAGCAATAAAATACATATGTAAATACATTAAAAAAAGGATCAGATAGAGTTATTTTTTCTGTTAATAATGAAAACAATGAGATTGCAAATTATTTGAATGGTCAATATATATGTATTCTGAAGCGTTTTGGAGAATTTTCAATTTTGAAATCCATGATAGAGATCCAACAGTTAAGCACTTAGCTATTCATTTAGAAAATGGACAGTGTGTTTTCTTTAATGCTAATAATCTTCATAAAGTTATTAAAAATCCAAGAAAAACGACACTTAACTGCATTTTTTGAACTGTGCTCACATGATGATTTTGCGAAAGCACTTCCATCATGAAGTTCCTTCTTATTATACCTGGGATGATAGCAGAGGCTGGTTAAAGAGAAAACGGGGAAAAGATGTTCCGGGTTGGTCGGGAATAAAAATGGACACTACCATTGGTAGAATTTAAACGGTTCACCCAAATCAAAGCGAGTACTTCCATTTAAGATTGTTGCTAAATTATGTACAAGGTCCTACTTCATTTGAAAGCTTGAAGTCCTTTGATGGAATCATTCACGCGACTTTGAAAGCTACCTGTTTTGCTCTTGGACTTTTAGAAAATGACGAACAATGGAAAAATGCTCTAGCGAATGCAACTGTTTCAAAAAGTCCTTCTAAGTTAAGAGAATTATTCGCAATATTCATAGTTTTCTGCCAATCGTCTGAACCGCTATCTTTGTGGGAACAGTTCAGAAATGATTTTTGAGAAGATATTCTTCATACAGAGCGTACTCAATTAAATGACTCGCAATTAACTTTTTCTGATGAAATATTTTATAGAGGTTTGATTGAAATAGAAGATAAAATTGTTTATCTGTCTGAAAAATATTTAACTGAATTTGGAATGAACTCACCTGTTCGAAATGAAAATGCATCTGATTCTTTTGAATTCTCGATTTTGCGTTCTTACGATTATAACCGATTACAAGAATTTGTAAAAATCAATTTACTTAAATTAGTAGATGATCAAAAATATGCTTTTGATGTTATTACAGAAAGCGTAAAGAATCATCAAAGAAGAGTATTTTTTTTAGATGCTCCGGATGGTACAGGAAAAACATTCCTAATTAATTTGTTATTGACTTAAATTAGATCCTCAGGTAAAGTTGCATTAGAAGTTACTTCATTTGGTATAGCAGCGACTCTCCTTAGTGATGACAAAACTGCTTACTCGGCTTTCAAATTACCGTTAAATGTATTATTTGATACAGAATGCGTTTGTCCGATTCGTAAAAATGGCCCTCTTGGAAAAATTCTTCAAGAAACCTCATTCGTTGTATGGGATGAGTGTACAATGAGTCACAGATCAAACATCGAAGCAATTAATCTTAAGTGTAATAATAAGCTTATGGGTGGCATAAAATTTGTTTTCGCTGGTGATTTTCATCAAACCTTACTAGTGATCCCTAAAGGTTCTCGAGCTGATGTTATTAATGCTTGCTTAAAATCTTCCCCTATATAAAACATATAGAAAAAAAACCTTATTTGCGAACAAACATAAGAGTTTATTTATGCGGTGGAGACGATATTTTTCCAGCACAGTTGTTAAAAATTGGATATGGAACTTTAGAAAATGAATATGGTTACATTTCTGTCAATCACACGATTGGACGGGTGGTAAATAATGTGGAATTAGGTAACAACGGAATTACGGAAAAATGAAATAAATAAAAAGCATATCATAATACAAAATATAGTATTTAGTATTTATATTATTTATTTATTATTTATTTTATTTTTTAGTATTTATTTAATATAGTAATTATTGTTATTGCTCTCCCATTCCTAATTTCTATATATTCTTATTTTTTATCCATTGCATATTGAAATACCATAATGACAGAAACACATATAAACCTATTAATAAACTAAACGGTATTCCCAATTTTTGTTGGCTACAGAAAGCCGTTGCACGGCTGCTGTTCATACTTATTTTTTATTAATTATTAATTGAAGGGTGGTCGGAAATAACGTACTGTATTGCGATTCGTACATTTATAGGAACGACTAAAAACGAAAAATGTATTATAGACTTATTTAAATGTTATCTGATACGCACGTATCACATCATTATATATTAGACTATTTTTTTTTATAACTCGACCATTATTTTATTATTTTGTGAACTGTATTCATTTATAAATTAGACTTAAAAAAAATTATTTCAAATATATGTTGCACTTTCGTGTATCCACACGTCACCTGTTGTGCCAACTTACTGTGAACAGTGAAATTTGAATACGATGATTTTGTATCATAAAAATATTTTAGGAATTTTACTATTTTTAAAATAGACCTATATTGTTTCATAGCATAGAACGTTATTTTGCAAAAACATAAAATCCGAAAAAATGTTACATAGCACGTTATTCCCGTTCATCTTTCAATTATTAGATATTGAAACTATCTCATGTAGAGCCTTTGCGTTTTTAACGCACGTAAATACTAGATTCACAATCATTCTCAGAATGTTTGAAGGGGGGGACATAAGTCAACGGCTCCCCTTCTGAATCCCTCCCTGATAATATTAATAATAAATCCTTAATCTAATCTAAAACAATGGTTTGTGTGACTTGGATATTTGAATACTTCAAATTACCCAGGTAAGTATATTGTAGAGTTGTTCGAGTACTCGACTTTGGAAAAATGTTCGAGTCGAGTTCGAGTACTCGATTTTTTTTAATACTCGGGTATTGTCTAGTACTCGACTTTTTTTTGAGTACCTACTCGACATTTTTTAAGTACTCGAATTTTTAACTCGACTCGACTTCAAAAAACCAATACTCGCCCAACACTAGTATATTGAATTGAATAATATCATATAGGTATTTAATTATAATCATTAAAATCTGTTATAAGTTAAAAGGAAATTATATTTTATATTTATGTGTTTTACTCAGTATTTAATATTTTATATTGTATTATTATTATTGTTATTTTTTTAGTATTGGATTTGATCAACATTTTCTCTATCAATATGAGTGGATCGTTTAAAACTGTTTTAAAGTCATTGCTTGACTGTGATAAGTTGCCAGAAGAAACTAAAGCATTTTTAAAAAATGTAAGATTATTATTTTTTAAAAGGTTGACTTAAATCCATAATAAATGACCATGTTTCTCTTGCAGAAAATGTTTTTTCAAGAGTGATTTCCCTTTTAACTGTTTATAAATAATTTTCATTATTTTTTTTTAATTGTGAATCACTTGAATGCTTTGTTTTGTCTGGTTTATTTTCAATATTTAATGCTTCAAATTCTTGTAAAGTTCAAAATTCAAATTATTTTTTCAAACTCTTGTAAGGTGATACTTATTGTATTAAATAAATATTTCCAATGATATTGTAAGCATTTGCTTTTTGATTTAGTGATGTTCTCCGATACAGATATAATTAAATATTTGAAACATTTGGAAACTTCTTATTTAAGATTCAGATTTTAAAAACTATCAAATAACTTAAAAGTTAAAATTTCCCAGAATGCGATTTTTCTCTGATTTGCATAAAAATAAGTATAGTATGAGTTTGTATTTATAAAAAATATATTGGCTTTTATCTTTTTAAACATTACACACAAATATTTTATAAACATATTTTTAATTAAGTCTGAAATCTATTACCTGTTATATTTATTTTATTCTACAACTTGTTGCATGAAATAAAAGTGTATTCTGAGTCATACTCAAAGTTCTTTAATTTTATTTATAAAATAAAACTTTTACTTGTTAAATATTAAAATTATATTTTCATCTTGTAAGTAATTTTTGAATTTTCAATTAAAATTAGTTTTATTTACATACTTGATTTTTTTATATAATTAAATTAAATTATAAACATAATTTGGTAAAATTAATTAAATTACATTTCTAAACATTTTAATTATATATCTAAAATAAATAACATATAAAAATTATACAAATCAGTTAATATTATAAATAAATTTAGATGTACATCAGAAAATTGTTAGTAGTAATAAAGTATTTTTTTTAAAATAAAACAATATATACAATGTATAATTTAATATACGTACATAATTCATTGGGATGTTATGTATTATACAATTTGAAGTTAAATATCTAATTTTTGTTTTGTTTATTTAGAATATAAAATCTTGTGAAGACCTAAATTACAATGATTCTCAAGAATTATGGATTTTGTTACATGATTTTATCCAGAAAACTACAGAAATTGAAGATGTTACCTCAGATAAAGAATTATTGGCATGTTATAAATGTATTTTAAATCTTGTCAATCTTGCTATTAACAGTACTAGTGATTTAATGGGTATACTTAATAAACATAATATGCTATTGAAAATCATGGTTTTATTTCAAAAACTTTACAAAATAAACATTGATCAAAAGGTAAATATTTTGAAATATGAATTATTATATTGTTTAAATTATAAATAATATATAAGTTACTATCAATAGTTTTAGCAATGATTTAGAACAGTATTTCTTAAACTGTGTTCCGAAAAACCCCTAGGATTCCATAGAGATCATTTAATGGTTCATCAGTGGCGTCATTTGAGGAGAGGCAATTTGGGCCCCAGTCTAAAATTTACAATAACCTTATGTCAGCACATTAAAAAATTTTAACTCTTTAAGGCCATTGTACCTGGTGTTTGATGTTCCAATACCTAAACATTTATCCCCCCCTCAATCCCCTAATTTATTAAGGCTTTATGTTATATGAATCTGTGTGATGAAAAAAAATGTTGAGCCAGCTAATCAGTGAATGGTTGCCTTTGTCTAACTAAAACTGAAATGACTCCACTGGATTCTGCGATAATCAAGTGCTTTTTTCAAAATATTCATAAAAATTACTTTGAAAAAATTTAACTGAAGATCAGAGGTGGCTATTAGGAAAATGTATTATGCTTGCACATTTATAAAATATTATATTTTAATACTACATAATAGTAAATAGTAAGAAATTAACAATAAATAATAATATGTAGTCAATAGTGTTTTAATCTTATACAATCTAAGAAAAGTTGAAAAACGATTGTTGATTACTATAAATTAGTATGTGGCACATGTCCACGTAATTATAACAGATAAAATGATGGTTTTGTTTTAATATGGCTGTTGAACGTGCTTTGGGTTCTGTGTATTTTGTTAGAGTGACGTGATGCTATGCAGTGAAGTGCAAATGCAAGGTATTAAGTGAAAAGGCTTTGAGAGTCCTACTTCCTTTTCCTTCAACTTATGTGGATTCTCAATAGTCACTGCAACACACTAAATATTGAAATAGGTTGAATTATTATTATATAGTTTTAATATTTGACTAACCTATTTGAATTTGTAAATTTTATTTTTAGTTCAAATATGAAATAATAAAAATATGCTCTAACTTTTGGAAAATAATGATTACATATTCAGTAAATGGATTTGATAACCCAATGGATAATGAAGAGATAGTAGTGAATAGTTTTATTTTAACTTTTGAATACATATTTAATGCAGTTCATGTAACTATAAAGAAACTAGAAATGGTAAGATAAACTATAAATATTTTTATTATTTTGATAGTAAATATCTTTAATTATTTTAATATAGAAAACATTATCTTCACTGCTATGGGAATATTGTAAAGTTGTGAGTACTTTATCCATTAAAAAAGGAATAGATAATATGGTAGCGAAATTGGAAAACACATTGAATAATTCATTATTTTTGGAAACTGAAACAGGAAAAATGATTTTTGCAGACATATTTACAACGAGTCAGCAACTATTTCTAGTAATATTTTAATGTAAAATCATTTGATACAAGTATTGAATGGCATATGTATTTATAAATGTTTTCATCAGTCTCTGTAACTAATAGTATGCATCAACTCACTTTGATTTGTATTAACATTTAGTTGTTTGAACCAATATAAACTATATTTTAATTATTTATTCATTTATTTTTTTTGAGAATTTAAATGTAGCTAAGAAATTAAATTGATTATTTTCTTTTATACATGCCACTCAACATTATAAATTTAAAACTGATATATTTTAATATTTTAATTTTGATATGTATTTATATTTTTTTTAAGAAATTTCATCAACTAGTAAAGAATAAATTAGTAAAAGCTAAAAAATCGCTAGCTGAAGCGTTTGGTGATATATATTTTATTTCATGGATAAATTCCAACTCTTCTATGAGAGAAGTAACTATTTTTTTATTATATATTTATATATTTATTTAACTAATAATTTTAAATTTTAAAATGAAAAATCTATGATTTTAGGTTATTGAAGAACAAGGAATATTTGAGATAATATCAAAAACATTTACATTTCAGCGTACTGGTCAATTTAATCGTACTTATTATAATGCTTTAATTTTTTTACAAAGCATGCAAAAACATAGAAAACATTTAATTTTTAGTAAAGTCATAACTAAACTATATACTCCTGTTATTTGGAGAAATTTATCGGTATATATTATTTATAATTTAATTTATGTGTTCTAGGAATTTCTTGAATTTTTGTTTTTAATTAAATTATGTGTTCATTTGATATTGAAATAGAGTGAACATGGGTATATCAGATTAAATGCTGTTGAAATTTTAGCCAGAGCTTATCCCTTAGAAAAAAGAGGAGAAGGTCGTGAAGTATCATCAAGGTTTCTGATGAAACAACAAGATGCTTTTTTGGATCTATTGCTGGATGTTTGTCCTGTAGTTCGAATTGCAGCTATAAAAGTATGTGCTTTTACATAAACCTAATTTTTGTACATTTATGTATAAAATATTTATATAATCCTTTAAATTAATATTTATATTAAATAATGAGATTTTAAATTGAAATGTATAAATTGAATGATAAACAATAAATTGAATTAATAACATATTTTTATCTTAAAATTTGGTATTACTATTTTCTATGGTATGTTTAGTATATGTGTGTATAACTTAAAATTAATAAGAACAAGATTTTTCTGTCTTTATAAACTAATATACATTTGTAATTGACACAACAAGTTATTAAACTAAACATAGAAGTGCAAAATGTTTTTTATATTAAATCTTGGTTACTATCAATTTTGTACATGAATTATCAAAAAATTATCTAGATAAGATAATGGATAATTCATTAAAAATGAATCTAAATAAGAAAATAGATAACTATTTAAACATTTATTTGGATAATAGATAAAAAAACAGATACTTTTAAAAAGTTTTATCATTCAAAACTTACGTAAGGTGATTATTTTTCTATAAATTAAATGCTAACTAAAAATGCCAAAAAAAAATGTTAACTATACATATATATACATATTATATATTTGCATATGTTGATCTCTTCTTAGCCTTAGCTGTGGAAGAGAGAATTCAATCATATTTGTCGTAAAATATTGATCATTTTAATAATTGTTTGCTGTACATGATTAAAAATTAAGTACTATTAATTAAAGAAACTAAAAATAAAAATACAAGTTGAACTATTTTAATAATGACAATTGCTAATAACAAACTAATATACTTATATAACATTTAATATAGGTACTTAACCCGTAACTGGTACAATGCAGTGTGACATACCGCTTCATTTGATAACAATATTTGGACCTTTTTAGATTAAGTTCTTAAATAATTTTATGAATATTAATTGTCAGTATAATATTAACAATCATTCTACATTTTTTTTTCAAACAAATTATTATTTCTTAGTGTTTCAATGAATGAACTGTTACTTTAAAAAATTGTAGTACAGTTTATTTCTGAATCTTTTATTTTATTCTAGAATTTTTCATTGTCGGTTTTTAAGGTTAAAACTTATATACAATAATAAAAGACATACTGAAGAACAAGATAAAAAAAAATAATAATAACCAGAATAACCATTTTTTAGGTAAAAATCTCTATGACCAAATTCAATTAAAATGCTTTATTATAATAAATAAACAAAATATTAAACCTTCGAAAACAAAAATAAATAGAAGAAACTTCAAATATAATATAATATAACTGTAGTGAACTAAATTTAAAAATAAAAACAAAAATTTCTTCAAACATAGAAATATATTGGATATCAAAAATGTTACGTACATGGTACAGTGCGGTGTGAGGTACCGCTGAACATTTTATATCAACAATAACAAGTTATGACAGAGATCATAACATGAAAAACCTATCTTATCATATACATTTTACTTCTATACAAAGGTATATGTAACCTCCAAGTAATATTATCAATATTAAATATTATAATTGATATGTAAAATAAAAAAAATGCAGCGATATATGACACTGCACTGTACCAGTTACGGGTTAATATAAGAAGAGCGAAAATAAGTAAAAGAAAACAGTATTTTTATTACAAAATATCATATAATATGATGTATAATGATCCTCACAACTGTAATTTGTAATATTAAAAATAATTTCACTAACAATTTTCTTAGAGTAATTAGTATAATAGTAGTTTTGAGTATTTATTTTGTATTTAATACAAAAATTTGCGAAAGTATAATAAGTTCCTGGATTGTGCTAATTAAGTTTGTAATTTAGGAATATTTATATATTGGTGTTAAACTTAAAACGAGTATTATAAATATGATTAGATAGTAGTACATTATATTTATTTTTAAACATTAAAGTACAAACATACAACCAATGACATGAATCAATATTGAGTATTTTTATTGGATGTGTTTATATGCAGATACGGTACCTACATATAAAACGTTATTTGCAGGTACCGTACATTCATATCAAAAATAAAATGTAAAATTAAAAAAAAGCAGTTAGTCGTGCTTTGTTTGGCAATTATAGATATTGTATACAATAGGTACTTCAAACACACATGATTAGAGTAATTAATTCGATAAATGAAAAAAGATAATATCATGTCTATTATAAATTTAATAAAATATTTTATATCCGTATGCAACAAACATAAGTTTAAGTTAATAATATTCTTCTATTTTTGTGAATACCTGCAAATTTATCAACAAAAACTTCTAAATCTAAATTCTTGGCAATTTTTTTTTCTACAAATTATAAAATATAAATTCTATAAAATTACTATATTTGTAAGCCTTTTATTAGTCATTTTGTTTATCATGTAATTTTTAATTTGTCTCAAACTGGAGAAAGTTCTTTCCACTCCAGCACTAGATGGTGGAATGATTATAGAAATAGTACTGAGTATATACATTTCAGAAAAAGCTAATTTGTATTTTTCAATTGTATTAAATCAAGTATATTTTTTATCTGAATATTTTTTTCAATTTCATATCGTTTGATAACTTTCGTAAGTAGTTTTAACTCTGATTCTAAGCTTTCTATATCTAACTTATAGTGTTCTGCTAAAGGCTTAATATTTAATAAATTTAAAAATGAGTTACTTTTTGGGTTGAGGGAACTGATACCTGTTAAAATTGCATAATTGTCTGAAAATCTTCTATTGAGTTCACTAACCATTCGATCAAGGACTGGAAAAAATATCATTGTCTTTATATCGTTATAATTACTAATTTTTCTATTTTCAGAAGTTGCTACTTCAGTCAAATATGAAGAAAATTGTTTAGGAAGTTCGCGAAACCTTGTTTCTTTAACTGTTTTATTAGGGAGTTGAATGTTATTTTTTGTGCACATAATTTAACTTCTTTCAAAAGATCTTCAAATTTGTTTGGTGTATTTCTTAAATCCATTAGATAATTAATTAATGATTTTACTAGTAGACAGCTAGAACCCAAATCTGAATCTGGTTTTTGTAAATAATCTGACACAATTTTTATCTCACTGAATGTATCACAAAATAAGTAGAGACAAAATATAAATTCAAAATTAATGTGAAATAATAGTGATTTAGTCTCCATTTGTTTTTCACTTTTGGTTTCTAGGCTTAATTGATGTAATAAAAGTTATATCACTGGAAATGTTTTTTTCACAGCGATGCAAGCAGAAATTTGACATATCCATCTAGTTTCACAAAGCCTTTTTAGTTCCATATTTTCTTTTTTTTTTCTAAATATTTATTTTGAAGTTCTAAGAATTTAGTATGAACAGTTGACCTACTAACAAATACAATTGTTGAATGAGGGTAATAAATGTTTCTATTTCAGGTATATTTTTACATACATCAACTATCACTAAATTTAATCTATTGTTAAAACAGTGTGTAAAGAGCGCTTGAGGAACGTGCTGTTGAAAAATTGATCTTACCCCGTTTTGTTTTCAATTCATCACAGATGCATCGTCATACGTTTGAGCTATACAGTTTTTTATATCTATTCCACAGTCTGTTAGTGTTTTATTTATGTAGTTAAAAAGAGCCTTTGCATTTAATTCATTACAAAGTACATACTCTAAAAATCTTTCATTCATATTATTATTGTAATAGTAACAAACTATATAACTAACTAATAGATAACTGCTCAGTTTTGTTGATGTCTTTTGTTTCATCTGCAAGAATTGCAAAATATTTGGCTTCTTTAACTTCTTTTGCAATAGTTTCTAAAACTATTTTACTCATTACATAAAATAAATCATTTTGAATAGTATGATGAGTATATTTTACATTTTTTGTTATAACATCAAATTTAGCTTTAAATCTTGTGTCTCTCCTAGCACAAAGTTCTAGAAGTTCTAAAAAATTTCCCCCGTTAAGGCTTTCTGACCCTTCATCATCACTACGTTCCGCAATATTTTGACAGGCTGTGAAAAATATTTCTGCTATAACTAATATGTAGTATCGATTTTCTTTAACTAAAAATATATTTTTCTCATTTAATGTTGATAAAATTGATTTTGTTTTTTTTTAAATTTTTATACCCTTCCCATTTCATCATACAAGTTTTATGTATACATGATTTATTATGGCCTTATATTCCTGCATTTTTATCAAGAGCTTTTTTTCAATTTTGAAATCCAATTTTATAAAACGGTGAATTATCAGACTCTGAAGAAAAAAATCTACAAGGAAAACAATGACAAGCATTTCTAATACACTATTTTCAAGCCAAAGATATGATTTAAACCATTCGGGGCGGAATTGTCTCCATTCTTTACCAAACTTAGATTGTGGGTAATTTTTTAAAATTGGTTGTGTTGGTTGATCACTATTTATATGTGTTATATCACTAGGTCCTATTTTAGATAAGTTTTCTATTTGAATCTCAGTTACCTGTTTTTGATACAAGACCTGGATCAAGGTTTTTTATTTCTTGTAGATCGTTTAACTGTTGAGAATCATCTGAATCTGATGAATGATTATCAGTACCACCACTGCTATCATAATTACTCTGTACTTCCCATTCTTCATTTTCTGTTGCATTATCGACTTCAAGTTTTTTATTTGTTATAGTTCTGTCTATGCTCTTATTGCATATGAACTTGATCCAAAAAACGAATCAATTTTTCTCACTTTACTGTCTTTACTCATATTAGATATTAGTAATATAAATAAAACAAAAACCAACTTTTTTATAAAGCACTCTACAAATAAACGTTGACGCACACGACAATCAAATAGTCAAATACACTGATATCTTATTCAGTATATATTGTAGTGTTCTTGATACCCGGATACCCGGGGGTACCCGAGTTTTACGGGTATTACCCGATTTACAACATTTCAGGTACCTATTATGGATTGGGTACTCGTTATGGTTTGTATACTCATTACTAGAGCTGGAATTTGTATGTAAATACATATTTTTTCTAAAACATGATAAATTTCGTTATCTTTTTTTTCATTGCACAGATAAATAACTGCTATAAATAGATATTATTTTATACAACTTTACAACAATTTACTGTTTACTTTTACATTACAGTAAATTAGTAGCTATATGAATATAAAAACAGCATAATTAACAAAACTTTTCAAACACCTATCAATATAATTGTTCAATTATTATAGTTTTTATATAGTTGTATATTTTAAGTTCAAAGCGTAACGATGAAACTATTAATATATTACACGCCATCAATAATATCACAATTTTATTTTTATTTTTTTGGCCCTATGAGTGAGTGAACGCCTCCTCCCCCCATATGTACGCCACTGACTGTGATTACTTATTATTATCTGCGTAGCTATACACATAAAAGGTAACGAATACGGCCACTATATCCGTTATCTGCAAGATTTAAATATAGGCTTTATAATAGCTTTTAACATGTTATTCGACATACTTGAACAAACTAATTATTGAAATTTAATAACACTCACATAAAATACTAACGATTTATTTTTAAAACGTAATTTTGTTAATTTAAAAGAGGAAATAATTTAATATTTTTATCGAATAATTGTGTAATGTATAATTTAATACTGATTACCTCTTAGCAGTGAAGACTTAAGAGCCCCATACACTACGATTAAACACAATGGTTTTAATCGTCACAGTAAAACACGTCGGTTTTTATTGTTGAATGATTTTGCTTATACACTACGATAAAACACGTCAGTTATCATCGTACTGCTTAATTTTATTAAGTAAATGTTCGTATGCTTTATTTTTTAGATTTCTATCTCGATATTTCTCAGACTTGATGCGCCACAAGCAAGGAAATGTTTTATACTCGTCAATAAATTAAATTAAAAATGTTTTATTCATTTTTAAATTACGTATATATACGTACATATATGTACAATATACAAATATATCGTAGTAAAATAATTTACATTTAAAATTTACTTTGAAATTAAAAATTAACACTGTAGTGGTAATATGTACAGCTGCATGACACGTGCACACAGTAAATAAACACATCGGTTTTTATCGAAAAGCCCACACATTACGATTTTAAACGACAACCGGTAAACCCGTCGTGTTTAAATTCAAGACTCGACAGAAATAAAAACCGTTGTGTTTCATCGTCGGATTTTCTCCACACACTTCCGTTTTGACCGACGGTTTTTTATCGTAACGATGAAAACCGTCGTGTTTCATTGTAGTGTGTGGGGCCCTTTAGCTAAACCGTTTACGTATTTCAAAAACCATCGGGTACCCGAAAATTGTGGGTAATGGGTACCCACTATCCGAAAACGTTGCTACCCACAAAATCGGGTATTACCCGGATAAACGGGTACCCTGCGTATTACCCACATCAAATCAAGAGCACTAATACACTGTGTAGTGTATACGCGTATACGTATAGAATATAAATATAATAAACAATTAAAAAATGACGTTATGTAAAAATCTTATAAAATTTCCTAAATGCTTTAAAAATAAAACACAATTATAATCAGTTCTATAATAACAAATATACAATCGTAGCATTATCTATATATTATAATAATCTAATTTCAATATTATTATTTATTTTCTACCTATTTAAAAATAGACTGTATATCAGGCGTTGCACGTTGACACATTGATACACCGTGTCGCACGCCCGTCTAAAATATTAAGACACGGTACACACGTGCATTATTTTGATGCGCGACACCGCTTGAACACCAACATTTAAACTACGACAATTATATCGATACACTATGCGAAGTAACTACTAATTATGGAAGTGTACAACCGAAAATTGGTAGTTTTTTGCATATTTAGTTTATAAAAATTATTTGTCGAAGAAAAACAGGCGTTACTGGGTACATCTCTTTAAGTTAAATATGTTATCTTATTTATTTCGTTATTAATTGCATCTTCTTTCTCATCAAATCCCTCGCAAAATTCATGGCAAATATTAATCCAAGCCAATCGTTTTATTAGTCTGTCATGATATGACTCATAAATAAAATTCCAAACTTCGGGTAGGTACTTCTTTATTTCCGCAATAAAAAGTTCGATGTCAAAAATTTAAAATTGTGTGTTCAAAGTCATTATTACAATAAAAACACACACGCACAGGTATCAATCAATAAATCGCCATGTAATGAGACGCCGCATTTACGATATTTTGACGTTGCGTTATCGGAGTAATTTTTGTCTTATACGAGCTCGTACGATAACGTACGGTGACGGAGACGTGTGTGTATCGGTCAATTGAATTATACATATAACGCCTCGCAATTACGATGACGCAGTGGTGCTGTACGTCAAAATAACGCACGTGTGTACCGAGTCTACATTTTCCCCGACTTCGGGTATTTGCGAAGACGGTCGGAAACTGCCGAGCGTCTACATAACTGTACATCAGAATTTATAAAATACTGGTGGACGCGTGCGATATTTTATTATGGAGCGGATATTATAGTTGTTAAAAATAGATCAACAGTCAAAAAGTTCTATTTATCAATTTATCACAATATTAACCGATCTGTCTACGATGTTTTGTATTACGCCTAATAGGCCGATCGGAAATTATGCCGCGGAAAATGTATTCATGTATTCACACTCTTGCCGCGCGGTAAAAGCTGCTCCGTTTGGACGCGCCTTTACAATCCAAATTAATACGTTGTTATTTCCGGCTAGAGATAACGTTTTATGACTGTATATGTTTACACTTTACAATTCTTATTGTCTATATTATTATATTGGTCCGTAATATTAGGTAAGTATATTAATATAATTCGGGCATAAGCATTTATCACCTCATCAAGTATTCGACACTACAACATCCCAGTTCTTATTTTCTATGGCTGTTTATAGATTATATAGGAATGAATTTAATTTTATTAAACGTAATAACTGGTAATACATTGTTGAGCAGTTCTTAAAAATGTAATTTATTGTATTGACGTATTTAAATGACCTTGATTGGTTGTAGTTTGGAAAACTATATTTACCAACATTTTGCAAACTTGTGTGTATTTTTTTTATCATACTCGTATATTATTATGGTGATTGAGGGGCCTCCGAATTAATTTTCCCCGGGCTCAAAATCTTTAGGACAGCTCTGTTTTAAACAGCCTTAAAATAGAAAATATTAACCTAATAACAAATAAAAATTTAAAGTTTAAAATTTTATTTTTCTGTCTCTCATGTCTAATCCATTATAATTCTCCAATCAGTCAACTAAATTAAATATGAAGTCTTAACCATAAAAAAAAATTAAATAATATTAATCGTAACAGTTAATTTTATCTACAAATTAACATAGGTGTATTATATGAATAAGTCATTATTTAAGAATTATTCAATATTCTTTCAGTACTCAATACTAAATATATTATTTATATAAATTCTCAATATTTATTTTTTATTTTACTCATCTGTGCACAGTGCTCGAAGTGGGGGGGGGATACGGTGGGATGGCATCCCTCTACTTTTTTGTATTTACAGTTTTCATCCCTCTACTTGTTTTGTATACAGTGGCGTATTATGAGATTTTTTAGGGGGTGTCCTGACTCCTGGCAATACTTAATCTCAACAAATATTAACATAGTTTCATCACGAATTCATACCTGATTATAATACATCTTAATACCTTACATAAATGGTATTTTTTTAGTAAAAAAATCTTAGGATATCTACTTAAATTCTTAATTATTCAGCAAAAAATAAAATCGTTGTAGGTACTTCGAGTGTACTGTACACTGTACACAGTATATACTTTATATTGTCGGCCTTTGCTATAGAAATTAGTTGACAATAACTTGTATTCGAAGAAAGATAATAAGGCGATAACCAATAATACGGCTCACCCGAAATCACGAAACGATAATACAATTCTAAGAATTACGTAGTTCACGGTTTACTGCGAAAGTTCAAATATTATTTTGCTAATGAATAGTACCTATTTTCTGGTAAAAGATGAAATATACATTATTCAATTTTCAAAGCAGTTTTAAAATATTTCGTCATTCGTCAACAATATTTTGCAATACTTCAGTAATAAATAGAACTACAAAAAAATTGGGGGGGGGTTTAACCCCTAGGACACCACCCCTAAATACGCCACTGTTTGTATATAATAATGCATTTCTAATAAGACTTGTATTTTAAAATGATATAGTTATCATTTTTATATTTATATATAAGACATTTTTTTTTCAGTGAAAATAATTGTTTTTAACATTCAGGCCCGGGCGTCCGGTTTATCGTGTTGTTTAGTATAAGCCGTTTCGCAACTCGTATTATACCCGTATTTAGAGCCACGGACTAAGATAATATACTTTATGTGAACTATAAAAAATATTATAGGTACACAAGGTGTGAAGAATGTTATGATGATATCAGATTATCTGAATTATAAAGCATCCCTCCACTTATTTTGAGCCATTTCGACCACTGTCTGTGCATATAACATAAATAACATATTGTTATATATATATATATGTATTTGTATATATATATATAATGTATAACAGATTGTATACTTTTTATTTAATTTAACTATTTTTATGCTTTCAGGGAATTTGTAGCTGTTTGCAATATTTTTGGGATTCATTTAATGATGATGAAATACGTAAAATCTTTAATACATTTGTAATATTAATGAATGATAGTGTATTTGAAGTACGGAGATCATTATTTTATTATTATTGTCAGTTAATAGAAGAAGAAAAGTCACATGTATATTTTAGAAATCCTATGTTTATGGCTAAACTTAAAAATGGATTGAATGATGAAAATGAAAAAGTTCGACGCGCTTTCATTAATTTGTTGATAAAAATTAAAATAACAGATGCTAAGGCAGAAAATACCGAGAAAGAAAACAAAATCAACTATGCTAAAATAGTTAATCTAAAGGATATTGCTGATGCAATTGCTGTAAGTTAATTTTAATATCATTAACAATTAATAATATAAATACCTTAATACCATATTTTTTTATTAAAAATTGTTATTTCTAAACTAGAGGTTTCCACTTTTTATGATATGGTTCACTTAATATTTTGGAAAAATTCTTAGTAATAATATACCTATTTTGTATTTCTTTAATCAAATTTTGGGATGTTATTAAATAAATTATAAATCCATATAATCAATATTTTCTACCAAAATAAATCTATAAATCTATAATTTATTCTATGAAAATACATTGATCATATTTAAATAATTATATTAAAAATCTAAATTTTAAATGTAACTGTTATTTGAAATAAACTATAAGTTTATATATTACACAATATCAAATAATTATACTTACTCAGGGCCGCATTTAAGGGGGGGCATTGGCTACAACTGCCTTGGGCGCAAGTTTTTTGGGGGCGCCAAAATTGTATGGTCGGAAATTTGCTCACTTGTGAATTATCGAACTTTTAAAATTATTTTGAAATTATTTTTTTTTTTTTGTTTTTAATATCAGTGTCATAAATTAATGTTAATGTATTTAATTTATTAATATATTTATAACAATATAGCTATCAGCGATCTAGAATATTATTAATATACCTAATATCAGTTTCCAAATTTGTTGTGATAATGTCAATAAACTTAAGTTATTTATAATAATACAGCGTATTATGTTATCGCGTGCGAGTGCGGTGGCGTGCCTATGTATTACATAAAAATAGCATTGATTTTAGAATATCTATAAAGTTCATCTATCTCCTATATTTTCCATCTGTGCATTTTATAAGGAATTTTCACTGGGCAACAAAAAATGTTTTTCTCAAAATAGTCAATGTAATACCATAGTACGATTATAGTATTAAACGTTTGTTTCGCATTATTTCGCCCAATCTTTCAATATTACTAAATACGACACTGTACTTACTATTATAAATGTTTTTAAGATCAAAAATTGTGATTTATCATAAATGCTATCAGTTAAAGAACCTCTGTTTAAAGATTTTTATATTAAAAAAAAAAAAAATTAAATTTAGTAGTATACACATTATTATAGTGTTTACTAACCATCTTTTATTTTTAGGTTGAAGATGAGCGCAATGTACTTTTACTTGCTGACTTAGTTTTTGATAACTTTATTGGGGATAAAGTAACAGACAAAAGTGCCACTCTTATGAGAATCATTGTGTTTTATAAAATGAATCCAACTGCTATGCGAAAATTAATGCTTCATTCTGAAAAACACCTAGATTTTGATAGAGCTTGTCAATTAATTCTATCATTATTGAAAACTGTTTACAAACATTTACTGAAAAAAGCAGAACGTTGTAATAATACAGGCAAAGAGAATAGCTTACCTTTTAAAAGGCTTAAACTTAGTGATAATTCTGGTACTTAAATATACTTTTTTAAAACAAAACAAGTATAATAATTTGATTTTTGTATTTTAGAAGACAACAGTGAAATATGTGAAAGTTTATCAACAAGTTCTGAAGATGAACAAAATAATTGTATAAAAGTATGTTGTATTTTAGATTGTGTAAATTGTCTTTTGGTTCTGCACCGTAATAAATTAATTGATGAGCGTGATAATCAACAAATTAAAGATGTTCTAGATTCTTGTGTTAAATGTTTGATTAAAACGTTTAAGCTTTATAAAGTAATTATTTATTAACTTTTTTAAAACAATATATTTTGTGAAAATTATGTTTTATATTTTCTGTATTACTTATAGGAAGGTGATGCTTATTATAGTGCATTAAGTCTAGCAAGTTTATTTCCTGTATCAAAATTTAGTAGCCATGTATCTTTACCAAGCGCAGCAATATCTATTTTACAACAATTACCATTTGATGTACAAAATGCAGAAGAAGAGATTGATATGCGCAAAGTTAACTGTCTTGTTCATACATTGTGTATGTGGAAGCGAGGCTATGAAATACTTGAGTTTGTTTCTGTTTGGTTTGATGAAGCTTTCAAAACTACAAATCTTAATGAAACACAATACCCGGTAAATTTTTTGAAAAATGTAAATAATATATTTTAAGTTGAAAAAATGTGTTCAAAATTATTTTATTTTAGGAATCAACTATACAAGAAAGGAAAAAGGTTAGATTTAAAATAGATGTTGAAGATTGTAAACCAATGACCGGTGTTTTATTAGTAAACTCAATGCTAAATAACCTACAAACACAGAAAACACTTCTGGATTCTGATGTTAACAAAAAAAATATCTATGATCTTATATCATACTTGCATCGTGTTAAGGTATATTAATATTAACAATTTTATCAAGAATTATATTTTTATTTTTTAGTATTTTACTTTCATGGTTATATTGTAAAATAACTTTTCCAAACCATGATTCATACAGGGAATTAACATAATTCATATTTACAGATAAATATGTATTGGGAAATGTAATTTTTTTATAAGACTATTATTCTCCCCTAAGTCCCAACAATGGGGGGAAGTTGAATCTAGAGTACATTGGCTTGTGTATTCAACGAAATTAGTGTAATTTTTGAAATTTTAATAGGAATACTTATTTTATATTAAATATAATTATGATTATTTTTTTGTATGGGTATAAAATATTATCATGGATCAAAGAAATAATATTATACAAAAAAAGAGATATATCAATAAATGTAGAAATTAACTTACTCTCAAATTTAAAAAAAGACCTACAACATATTTGAGATAGTTTGCTTAAAATTTTATTCGAAACACAGCAAATAGCTAAAAAAAAATGCAAATAATATCAAATTTTGCAGATAATATAAGATGAATAAAAAGAAAGAAAAAAAATTGATGAAACTTCTGTACTGAACTTAAAATAATATTTAGAAATTATATGGCTTACTACACTATTGACTTTTTTTCTGTCAGATTTTGAACATTAATATTTAGAGTTCGTAAATATTTGTAACATTTTTGATCCATTATTAATCATTTTATTGTTGATTAATAAAGAATTAGAATCAAAAATATAAATTAAATTTATCTGAAAATATGTATTATGTTACATCTAAAAACAATATTTTCTTCAATGTTTCAAAAAAAAAATTGGTACATGAAACTTGTGCAAATCAATTTTGCAAACGTGTATATTAGTCTCCAAATATTTTGTACTAGTCCAGTGATTATAGCAGGTGCAAAAAGATTTTTCAGTAAGCTGAGAAATTCATTGAAGACTTAGCTTCAACTGTGTTCAAAGCCTGTAAAATACAATTTTAAGTAAAAAAAATATATATTAAATATGAATTACAATATACTTATTTATTTATTTTTTCATTTGAATAATATTATAAAAAAATATAAAAAAAATACATTATTATTATCAAAATGTTTAATAATTTACTTTTAATAATTCATAGTAAATTTAATTATTGGAAGGTTTCTGACAAACATTTAATACAGGCTATCAGAATTTAACGTGGGGCCCCTAGTTTTAACAATATATATTATATAGCATTATTTACTAATTAACAATATGGATGAACATACATAATATCGGTATTCAACAATGTAGTATGCTACCGATTGCAATTTTGTTGGTGTAGTATGCTACCAACTAGTAAATTTTGTTACCTATCAGAAAACATTATTTAAAAGGTAATTTAAGTGTATAATTTTGATATAATATTTTCCATAAAATTTCATACCTATTTTCTGTTGATCTTATTGATATTTTACACTTTTTTTGAAGGAAAATAACCTGAGGGTTGAGTTATAAATATATTAATAGAACACTATAGGGATCATAACAGCCATTGTCATAACTGGTAAATATTCACCAAGACAACAAAACTTCTTGATATATTACTTTAGTATTCATGTAAGTGTCTGTGTATGTGTTTTTTCGTTTTTACATTGCGAGTTTTCTATTAGTTTGCTTTTTGTATGGGCATATGATATCTAGTGAATGAACTTGTGTTAACTATCTTCAAGAAAAAAACTTGCTGCCAAAAGTTAATAGTTTTCTTAAATTAAAAGACAATATTTGTGGAGACACGTTGAAAAATTATCAAACAATTAATAGTTTTTAGCTACATTTATAAAAATATATATATATGTATATATTTATAATAATAGCTACATTTTATGGTAGGTAGCATAAAACACTAGTTCAGTTTTTGTTTAGGTAATTTACTACAAGAGTACCAAAAATCTTCAAATATTTATTATATTCAAAAACATTTTCTTTACAAAATACTGTAATTTAAACTTCTTAAAAAGTTAAAATAAGGCTATATTATAAAACAAGGTTCTAAGAAATATGTTTCTTAGATCAGTTTTTAATGATTAATATCTGAATTGTTGGTATTTATACTATTATACACGCTAGAAGAAATTTTGATATGGTATTTTTATTTACTTTTGCTGTTTGACCAATCACATGATCATGCTGAACCAATATTTTTAAAATGTATTATACATTTCCTCAACATCTCTATTCAATTGGATATTCTATTTTTTATGTTCTCAGAGAACCTAAATAAGGTTATGTAAACAAATATCTTAAAAACATAATTACTTTATAATAATCCTCCACCAATCTAATGTTATATTTATAATTAATTAAGTATACATAAATGTATATGTATAGATACATTATGCATTTATTTATAAAAATTTATTATTTTTAAAAAACCTAATATATTTGCAGCTACAGATAAATTCCCAGCACAAAAATGGCTATTTGTTTTTATCTTATGTCTTCATAACCATATCTTAAATTATTACCAAGTTCCTTCCTATAACTTTTAGTTAAATTTTATATGCACCTACTGTTTTTATCTATTATAAATTATTTTTTAATAATTTTATACATTAAGAAAATTCTTATTAATCTTTTATTGTTTAATTAGTTTTTCGTCAAATTGTATTATATTTAATTATTTTTGTGAACTAGCCTTCAATCAAAAAACGATTATCTGAAGATAATATTTTAAGTAAATTATTATCAGACGAAGTTTTAATTGAGTTATTTCAGTTACATATTAATTTACATATACTTTACCATAGTGAAGAAAATAATGTTGATGAAATCATTAAGTATCAAACTTCTATTTTAGATTGGGTCATTAAGTGAGTATTCATATTCATAATTAAATCAATTCTAAAATTAGTTAATTATATCAAATAATAACAATATTATTTCAGCAATATACTTATTCACGATTTACATTTTAAAAATGAAACTACTATTATATTTGCAGCCAATATATTAAATGCTGTTAATAACATAATTTTGAATATTTGTTTAATGCAATTTGTGGACAAGACATATTTGGATAATTTCTTCTCATATTGTAATGGCATCATGCAAAGTGAGAAAAATTAATTAATTGAAATCAATTTTTCAATTTTTAATTATATTAAAATATATTTTTTTAATTATTGTATTATAATTTGAAACTTATGTTTAGATCAATTAAGTCCTCGTATCTTAATATCTTTGATTGAAACTTTAATACCAGTGGCAAAATATTTCAATCATTTAAAAATTATGGATAAACTAGAAAATGATACATCATTGCTTGCAAATTGTATCTGTAGTATTATATCAATATTTAGTGAATCCAAATTTAATGAAGAACGTTTTGAAAACATTATTGGAGTGAGTTAATTATGTAGGGTTGATTAAATAATTAATGTTTATACTACGCTTTTTGACATAATAATAAAAGCATGTACGTGTATTATAATTAAGAATAGACTCACTAACTGCTGTACTATTCTGGTTTTCATATTCAACGAAATGTGATCACACTATTTGTTTTCTTTATATGGTTTAGCACCAAAAGGCACTGTTATATATTATTAATATATATATATACTGGTATAAATGCATATGAGAAAAATCCTAGTATAAGCTCTAAATTATTATTCATCTTTTCACTTTGGTATAGCTAATTATTTATATCATTGTCTTAGTGTTGTACAGTAATAGTTATGGAACAGGTCAATATTAATCAAATAATTCTAAATAAGTATAAATATATAAAAATTAAGATTTATTAATACTATTATTTTATGATTTATAAAAAATACTAGTCCTTACTAGAACGCTAAACTGTTCTTCCCATAATTGTATTTCTAAAAAATTATTTATTTTTGTGTATATAGTTATTTAATTGGTTATAGTCAATTATATAATTATTTAAATAATAAGATTGTTGATGGATTTGTGTTTAATACTAACAAGGATCTATTGATAGATTTCATGTGGTGGTTGAGGAGAACATTATATAATATTTGTATACATGTATAATAGTTATTATTCTAGCTTCATATTAGTTTTCCCTATATGAATCAATCATAATTTAAAAGTGAAATTTAATTTTGTTATTTGAATATTATGCACATAAAAGTTATTTTAAAAAATAGATCTATACAAAATTTTAATAATTTTTAAATTAATTGAATTCTAAATTTAAATTTAAATTTATTAAATCATCTGTGAATCGTACATTAGTATAATACTGATTCATGATAAGATAAACAAAATTAAAACCTGTGTATCACTTAATTTTTTTTTTTTTTAGCTCATACGAATTAAAAACCATATTAAAATATCCTAATTGTGTTTTATTTATTTAATAATTTTTATAGGCTCCTACAAAATTTCGCAAGTATTTAAACACGTTGATTTGGGAAATTAATAAAATTAATTTGGTTGACTTCAAACAGGTTCTCATAACACTTATTGAAACTATTGTACAAATAATTGCTAATCACATTCGAGAAGTAAGTTTTTGATTTTTTTCCTTCGAAATTATAAATCTGTTTAATTTAAATTTTTTAACTTAAAATTATATAAATTACATTAATTTATATATAATATTACATATCTTGTTTTAAAATTATTAATATTTTATTTCGAAAATAATTTTAAAACTTGTAAAGTATGGTTTTTGATTCAATCAAACATTAGGTTTTAATGTGCAAGTATTATGTTACTTATACATTTTTTATTTTATTTTAAGATTGAAGAAGTTGATATGAATGAACATCTTACAGAAATACCGTTTAGTGCTAATCAATTAGCATTGGTAATTTTAAATAATGCTCCATTGCGAAAAGAATTTTCACACAATGCTGTTACAATATTCTCATCTGATTTATATAAAAATGTATGAGTGCATTTATATTAAATGTATTGGTTTAAATACATTTGTATTCAAAGTATTTTTTTTTTTTTTTTTTGATTATAGGATTCTTTTTTATTGATATCTGCAATATCTTATATCTACACTTTATCATTTCAACTAAATAAAACAAAACAAATTAATATGGAACCCATAGTTAAACTTTTATATACAACTCTAATGGAACATGATAAAACTAAAACACTACTTGGTAATAGTTGTAACTTAACTGCAAAAAACAATCAAGAGGAATCTATTTTAGAAAACTCTGATTTCAGTAATGAGTAAGGAACATTAAAATATTTTTATTAATCTCACAAATTTTTTAATTTTTATTGTATTATTACAGAAAAATAGATTTCAAAGAAAAAGGACTTAAAATTTTAATTGCCACTGCTAAGCAACTACATATTGCTTTAACTGATTAATACCAATAAAATTATTCATAATGCATGCTCATAATATTTGAGATGTTAATGAAAATAATTATACTTTGATAACTTTTTGTGGACTTAGTTATTATTATTATTATATTCATGTAATTAATTATAATTTTAAGCATAAATAGTATATATTTATATTTATTAATAAAATATTAAGACATTTTTTTAAAATTATTTTTATTTTGTTTCTTGTCCTATGTTTTCTTCAAATATTCAAAGCTTCATATTATGTCTCTAATTTCACAATTTTTAATCATTTTTGTATTCCTTTTATTCGAAAATTGGCCAACAATATAAAATATTTCCAGGGCCATAGCTAAATACTGGCAGGAGGACTTATGCCAGGGGCACATTTACACCAGAGGGCGAATTTTTAACGAGTATCAATTTAGCTACAATAATTTAAAATTTAAAATCAAAAATCTATAGTTTTTTTTTTTTACGTTTCATAGCACCCTTCTCGTCAAACATTGTTTTTTCCTGTTATTGTTTACAGGCCCTGATTTACGCAAATGCAAATGGAGCACTTGCATTTGGTCCCCAATTTCTTGCGCCCCCTGATCTCCGTAAGTTGTTGAAAATTTGTATTTTTAAATCAATTCCACAAACATTTATTTTATAAAATGTAATACCAACTGTCAATGTTCAGAGTTCAGTATATTTTTATCATTAAATTGTCAGTTAAATTTTGATTATTTTTATCATTTCTCACCCCACGCCCCAGTTCTAATCAGTTACCATCACAAAATATTAAAATAATAATAATAGAAAAATTGAACATCGGAAATATTTGATACCTAATAACTATTTATAGATTTATTCGAGCCCAGTATTTACATATTCACCCGTAGTTGGTGACGCTATGAGTATTTCGTTTACACAATTACCATTTTTAGGACCACTGGTTGTATATTTCATTCGATTTTGAAATTTTATAAGTTTTGATATAGATATTTAACACTTTTAACATACATTTTTTTTATTATCAACATTTCTCCCTTCCCTCGATGTAAATTTTTTCTAGAACATTTTTTTGACTTGGGGGGGGGGGGCACAAAAAAAATTGTGCATGTAGCTCTAATTTTATTAAATCATGCCCTACGCGGTATACTATAAAGATCCTGCCACACTGCGGTTTTTTCGCCGTTTGGTCCAAACGGTTTTAATCATCGTAGCAATAAAACCGTTTGCGTCATTGCGCCACATTAAAATGGTGGAACCGTTATCGTTTCCATCTTTTCGTTTTATTTCTATTTAGATTGGTGACGCACACATGTAATTTGTTTATATATTTGATTAATTACTTGATTGTATTACATAATATGGTAAGTCAGTTGCGTAGTTACGGGGAGGGTGTAAGGGGTTTCCACCACCCCCCCCCCACAGATTTTTTTTTAATGATATTTGATTATTATTTATTAATATTTACATATTATAGTAAAATATTTTGATTTTACTATGATTAGGTACATATTAAAAAATGAGTAACAAAATAATTTTCATTAAATACGGAACAATATATATATATATATATATATTATATATATATTATATATATATTATATATATATATATATATATATGTATATAATACCATTTTAAATTTAATATTATTACATATGACCTCGTTTTATGATTTACTAAGAACACTTAAAAACTTACTCTTAATCAACCCCCCCCCAGAAAAAAATTGTATCTACGCCACTGTGGTAAGTTATACCAGTATAGTTTTTGATAGTGGAATTAAGTAAATTTAAATTAATAAAATAAACTTTATATCAAGTTGATTTTGTTTTGAATGTCATAATTCTTTGAAAAACACTGAACATCTTAGGAAGTCTGCAATCTATTATATACAAATTGATATAGTAGTTTACTTTTTGGAGTACTTACTTACAGACTCAATAGCTAACTCCCTGGAAAAAAAAAAATATTCCTCAGCCGTTCTCCTCGACGTGGCAATAGAATTCGATAAGGTTTGGCATCCTGGCCTTCTGTACAAATTGAAAAAAATCTTATCCCCTCCTTACTACTTATTCTTTAAATCTTACATCGAAGACCGTTACTTCACAACAAAGGTAGGCTGTGAAATTTCAACTTTAGCCCCATTAGCAGCAGGAGTCCCCCAAGGTGCCATTTCATCTCCCATTCTGTTTAACCTATACTCGGCAGACCAACCCACGACACATCATACTTCTGTTGCGGATTTCGCGGACGACAAAATTATTTATACCTCACATGAAAACCCTTTAACTGTTGGTTATAACCTACAAACTCATTTAATTATTTATTATTAATTATGTATTATTTCAAAATGGAAAATAAAAATTAATCACACTAAATCGTCTCATTTAACCTTTACCTTAAAACAAGGAGTTGTACCACCTATTACATTAAATGGTCTTGTCATCCCAAAAGTTACTAGCTCTCGATACTTAGGCTTAATTCTGGACCAACGTCTAACCTGGGCAGACCACATTAAAAGCAAACGAGTTCTCTTAAACGCTAGACGTAAATCCCTCTCCTATTTAATCGACAAACACTCAAAACTCAACATAAAAACTAAACTACTTTTATATAAAACTCTATTGATGCCTATTTGGACATATTGCATCCAGTTATGGGGAGCTGCCAAAAAATCCAATATAAACAAAATTCAAACCTTTCAGTCCATAACTCTTCGCATAATTACAAATGCTCCATTCTATGTTTCAAACCACACTCTACATACCGACCTAAGAGTTAACACAGTAGATGAAACTTCAAGGCAACTATATAAGCGATTCCATTTATGACTAACCAACCACCCTAATCCCTTAATATCAGCACTAAACTCTGACACCATTCCTGGCAATCCTCCGCGTAGATTAAAGAGAAGATGGTATCGTGATCTAAACCAAAATTAATTAATAACTATAAATTAAACTAACTTCTGTTATAAAGTGTTGCTATTGGGTGGCTTCTTTTTTCAAGCGTTGCATATCAAGTAAATCAATGTATCCGCATACATGCTTATTGTAAATTTAAATTACCGATTGTATGTTTTTAAAATAAAGTTAAAAAAAAAAAAAATAAAAAAAAATATCAAAAGTTGAATGATAAATTTAGTGTTTTAATATTTTATTTTAGTTATCAATTAACCATAAGTCATATTTTATTATGATTTTTAGTCTATTTTCTAAGAAAATTTTTTGATTTGATTACTTCATATAGTTTTTATGTAAAATGTATAAATTAAAATTTTCTACTAAATTACATAAAAATTGAAAAATATTTTAACAATAAATGTGACTAGTTCAAAATATTTATATTATTATAATCAATATTTTACACATATTAATTAAAAATTTTAGAGAAAAAAAATGAATAACTATAATATAATATTTAATAAAAAATAATGTAACTAACTGTAAATAATGTAATTAACTTGTATTTTATAATATAATTGAAAGTTGTGAGATCTATTTAAAATGTATATTTTAAATACAGGTATCAATAATGACAGTGATGGACAATATGCTAACTTTGTAGCACCAAACTACAAAGAAAGTATTGGTGTGAAAAAATCATTTTTGGAGCAACATTCCATACAAACTATTGATTTAAATGGAAAAGCTTTACCTTTTAACCCAAGTAAACTCTATTACCGTACACCATAGGCGGTACTAGATCCTCTTGGCAGGAGGGGGGGGGGCAGGAAATACTTTAAGTAAAATATTAACACTATTTTGTCTAAATCTTGACTAGCAGTACTATAAAAAAAGTATTTTATTGATAACTATTTTAACTTAAATTAGATAATTTTGTAAAATGAATAATACACTTACAAATACCTACATTTATATTATTTTATCTTATAAAATTTTAAAATAATAACTTACCACAATTTATCTTTAATGGTTCTCATAGGCGGACCCAGAGTGATACATTTGAGTGTGCCCTGTCATTTTTTGGTTATTTTTCAAAATTAAAGGGGAAGCTATAAACACGTATGTGTAGACCGTGTTATGATTTAAATTCTAAAAATAAAGGATTCGTTAATGATTTAAAATAACGATTGGTAAAATATACACGTAATTATAATTTCAAACTTATTCTGAACACTTGCAGTATTATTTACAAAAATCTAAAATTTAATTAATGTGTATGCAAATATATTCTCAATTGTAATTATTCAATTTTTTTATTCGCATTATTCACATTAGGGTGTGCCAAGGTACACCCGGCACAACTCGTAGAGCTGCCTATGATGGTTCTTGTATGAAAAAGTCGTATAAAATTTTTATTTTTTTATTTTGGTTTGTGTTCATAATTTTTATTATAATTAATATTATCCAAAAAACTCAAGAATACTAAATAAACATATACACTTCAAACAATATACACTTCAAATCAAAGTATAAAATCATACAAAACGTTTGTGATACAGATAATAATAAAGTAATACCTAATATTGGTTTATGATTTGTCAATGATAAAAATAAATTATAATAATATTTAAAATGTTGACGCAAAAAATCAGCATATTTACATGAATGGCTCCCACGGTTGTAGATAATAATATTATTACTTACAACCATGCAGACTCTAAATAAGCATGTAATATGAGGGTTTACCAATCAATATTTTAAATGTATAGGGAGAGTAAGAACCCGCAGGGGGGGGCAGCCGCCTACCTTGCCCCTCCCGTAGTACCACTTATGCCATACACCTTCTAATGATGAGAAGATAATGAGAAAATGGTTGTCTTCTTCTACTTTATTAAATAAAATATTCTGTGCAAGTTGTATGGTATTTTCTGATTTGAAATTAAATGAATCACCATTTGCTAAAGGTCATATAAATAATTTTAAATATGTATATAAAGCTGTTGAAGATCATGAGAACTCAAAATCGCATCAACAAGCAGTGTCAGCTGCTCTTCAGTGTTCAATGAGCAAAGATATAAGCACATTAATTAACCGTAATATGGCATTTAAACATTTAAAAGAAGTCGAGCAAAGACGATTGGTTATTAAAAGACTTATAGACATCATTTTTTTTTATTGGACGTCAAGGGCTACCATTCAGAGGTAGAGGAAGGTGCTTACTCATTGAATGAAAAATGGAAACATGGTAAATTTTTGGAATTAATGTTATTGCTAGCTGATTACGATAGTGTATTAAATGAACATTTAAAACAATGCATTTTGAAATGTAATAAAAATAAGAATAACTGAGTAAGAGGTTCTTTGGTTACTTTTTTATCATTATGAGATCATATTTATCATTATGTGATTAAAGAAAATTCTGTAATAAGTGTAATGGTCGATAGCACTCAAAATATAGCAGTTAAAGACCAGTTAGCTATAGCTGTTTAGTAAATTGTTGGAGGAAATGTATATGAAAGGCTTTTAAAGCTAGTTGTTATCAAAGATTCGAGTGGTAAAGCATTACATGAACAATTGAAAATTAATTTTGAAAAATGCAGAATACCTATGTTTAAAATAGCTGCTAGTTCTTTTGATGGTGCTGCTAAAATGAAAGGAACATACAATGGTCTTAAAGCACATATGTTAACCGATAACCCTAATTTAATATATACACATTGCATGGCACATGTGCTTAATTTGGTCAAAGTAGATTCAACTGAAAACTGTTTATTAGCTGAAAATCTTTATGGATTAGTTGAAGAAACTGCTGTGTTTTTATCAAATTCTCATAAAAGAATGAATGTCTAGAAAGAACAAACTGGTAAATATATTTATAGCACTTATTAGCATATATTTTCTCATAATTTTAACAATACTCATATATATGATTTTGTGTACTTACATATTGTATTTTATTAAATAATAGGTGAACGACATAAATCTCATGTTAAATTGTACCGTATTCAAAAAACTGGCGAAACTCGTTAGTGGAGCAAACATAAGGCTTCCACATTGATTATTGATCCAGAAGATGTTTTAGAGTCAAGTAAATTTTTTAATTTTCTTCTGTTTCTTGTCGAAATAATAGAAGGTAGTTTTGGCTGTAAAACTAAATTTATGGCTCGTACTTTATTGGAGAAATGGATTCAATTTGAAACATTGTTTACCGCAATAATAATTTTGACATTATTTTCCATTACGTCTCCTGTTTCTAAGTTTTTACAGTCTTATGCACTGGATTATTTAAAAGCATGGCAATGTGTAGACACTTTACTTCAACTTATAACTAATAAGAGAAACGAAGAAAATTATGACAAACTGTATAAGAAATGCAAATTATTTACTAAAAAATTGAATAATATTTTTATTGACCAGTTTTATTAACCAGTTAGTGGAATTACAAGAAGGTTAGGTTAGGTTGGTAAATTCTAAGAAAGAAGATGATGAAGATTATTTAAATCAACAAAATTGTAATAACTGTTTACCGAAAATATTTCAAATTCTTTTTGAACTTACAATCAAAACGGGCTTATTCAATACATTGTACATAGCATTAAAATATGTTATTATACTTCCATGTACGCAAGTTAAGTGTGAACGAGTAATTTCAAAACTAAAAATTTGAAAAACCAAACTTAGATCTTTATTAAGCCAGGCTAACCAGCAATATTTAGATCCTTTAACTTGTCTATTTGTTGAAGACGATATCATTCAATTTATAAACAAAGATAGTTATTGATATGTTAGAATCGTCAAGCAATGAATTAAAAAAAATACTTTTTTAATAATTTAATTATTTAATGTTAATTTTTAATTCAAAATTTGTATTTTATATGTAAAATTGTTAAGTAAAAATGTTGGTTTACATTTTTATATTTATAATTACATTGACAAAGACGTTGAAAATAACGACCTAATTTTATTAATTATGTATAGAATAGTTTTAATATTTTATTAAATGACAGTTCAATTTTTTTTCGTTTAAATTAAGATTAAGTTTGTAGGGGGCCCATTCGAAATTAGTTAACCAGTGGCCCAGTCATGAGCCAGACCGACACTGGGCAGTGGCATGTGATAATGGATTACTCACACTAATGTTTATTTACTACTCATACAATGACAAAGTTCAAATGTACATGTAATATGAATTGCTTAAATATTACTCCTTAAAACATGCTATGCTGGAATAAAATTCATAATGACATCTTAAATAAATCATTGAACTATAAACTATATCGATGGGTCCACACCAAACGCGCCTCTGCACGTAACGTTACTGTAACATAGCTGCAACATTTTATCGCCTGCAACATTCTCGCAAGGACAGGCGTCCATACTGCGCGTAGAAATGTATGTTGTAACATGATCGTGTTTTCCGATTTTCGTCAATGTGTTTGTGCCGTTCAGAAAGTGCAATTGTCCGCTATTTCGTTTTCAATTTTTTTATAAATTATCTTTGACTAGTAAAATGTCCGATCAAGTCACTAGTGCTGCGTTTATTCTTTTATATAGTCTACTTAAAAAAAAAAAAAACAGAAAGTAAAAACTGTAAACGACGCCGATTTTGGGAGACTCCTGTTTTACAGAGTATTTGTCTCTGGGTTTGTCTTTTGGGTTCCATAAAACTGGTTTTTCACGATAAGACTTGATTAGTTGGATAACTCTGTCTTGATCCCAAGTATTTTCTGAATTGCAGCTCATGATTAATTAATAACCTTTCTTTTTATTTATTAATTATTTCTATTTGTTTGTTATAATTATTATTAAAATAATACACAATTTCGTATTCACCGTAGCAGCAACAATACAACACTGACAATTTCTCGTCCAAACCAGATAAGCAAAACGCGCCAAACACCACGCATTTCCCATATCAACCCGAACAAACGCGCAACATGCACGAACATGCTTGTTCATGCGCGGACTAGGTCCATACTAAAAGCGCCGAACATGGTAGCAACGTTGCAAAATCGTTTTGCGCATTTTGTGTAGACCCGGCTTTAGAAGGCAGAGAGTATTTGATAAGTAACTCTGCTGCCTGGTAATCATAGTTCGTCGTTTTACCGTTGCCAATGATCCCGGCGCGACTGTGTCCATGTTGTTTTTCACCCGCATTAATAGATAACTAATAATTGATAAGAACGCTATTGTCTATGTCGAATAATATCACATCTCGTTTCATCCCGCGAACTAGTTTGTCGGGAAATCGGTTGTCGTCAACGATGTGTTGACTGACCGCTGTTCGTCGTTCGGTAAGATCGAAATCGATGAAACAACACTGTTTGTGACGATGACGGCGGGATCCGACTACCAGTGAAGCAGTATTATTTATTTAACCGTTGGACAATCAGTTCCGTTGGTTTTTTTCCTGTAACGACTGTGCGTACTGAAGCACATCATCTCATTGGGATACTATGTATCGTCCGTAATAATCACGTAAACACTAGCTTACTGCTTGGGACCTAGAAACCATTTCATCGATGTTGTGCTCCAGTCTTGAACTGGATTTGTATTAATTAACCAACTTGGTAGTTTGCAGCAGCAGCCATGACCACTTGGCTGGAAATACTAATTGTATCTTTTTTTATCTTACTACCATTCCTCTACGACACATGCCGAGGGTTTCGTTACCATTTCCGTCTGGCTATATTTTCCGTCCTAGCCTCTTTAACATCTCTATTGGCCATATTTCAATTCAAACAGCGTACCAGGTAATATTAGTTAGCTATAACTGTAATTTTCTTACCATCAATCTCTCATTGTCATTATTTTTCTGTTTATACTCCATTCAATAAGTTTTCTACTAACCCCATTTAATTGTTTAGTTTACAAGTCGTAATGATCTATTGAAACATTGATGTCGAATACTTAACTTTTATTAGATTTATTGAGAGATAGCCATAGAAAAACTTGAAGTTTTCCTTTTGTGTCTAATTTAATATTATATTTATATTAAAAAATAGAGTTCAAATTTTTAATAATATTCAAAAAATCATATTATCTTTGTTTCCATTTGTAGATCTTTGAAATATCATCTTGATTTTACAAATTTATCCTTAAAATAAGTGCTAAAGGATACTTGAGATTGCTAGATATCAATACAAATATTATAAATATATTTATTTAAATTATAATTTTATATAAACTGTAAGATATTCTTAAATTGTAAAATTGTAAATCTTTATCAGTAGTTAAACTTAACTTTGAATTATATTTTTATTTTGATAAATATATCATTGCTTTAAAACTATCTCTTACGGTTGTACACTTTACTCCAATATTTTATTAAAATCCTATATTGAATTACTAATTATCACTATACATGTACAATATAGTCTTATTTAATCTTATTACATATTTGACAGGTTAATTGCCTATTTTGGTCAGCAAATTTCAGATTTACTGTCTTTAGAATGGCATTTACATGGAAAACAAAATTTACTATCAAAACGTACCAGAGTGGCTATTATGAACTACCAAAGTAACATTAATACATTAGGTAATTATTATTAATTTTATTTGTATTATTTTGAAGTTCTATATATATTAAACTGGTTATGGAAATTAGTAGACAAATTTAATTTTCATTTAAGTTATTGATTTACTTGAACACAATTTAAATTATGAATTAAAATACCACAAGTGCAAATATTGCATGATAATGTTACAAGGTTATACATCTCATTTAATGTGTATTCATAGGAATCATGCATTTATTATATTGCTGTCAAGAGAAGGACCTGAATATCATCTCAAACACAAATTATAATAACTTATGGCCATTTTCATTTTTTCCGTGGCTACTATCATTGATGCTGTGTCCCATTCAATTTCTTAACACCAGTTTGGGATTTTTGTATTTTTCTCCAGCTATTATGGATTCAGGGGTACTTAGTATTGAACTTGTTGAAAATAAATTTAAAAAATGTATATTAGTATATTTATATTGTACCTATGTTTATAGCCCGAAATTATACTGGCGCCAACAACAATGACAAATAAAGAAATAATTAAAATGGCCTTAAAAAAAAAATTACCCATCCAACCAATTGTATTTTCTAACTGCTACTTCATAAATAGAGAAAAACATTTGTTTGAGCCAGGTGTGTAGACTATAATATTTTAATTTATTTTGTTTTTTATCAAATTTTTTTAATTGTTTTAGGCCGTGTTATAATATCTGTGATGCCAATAATAGAAACTGATGGTTTAATAGCTAATGATATTTCTAACTTAAGTGATGAAATTTCAACCAAAATACGTGTGGAATATGACAGTATAAGTAAAATCACAAAATTGAGTGATTATCAGACTCCATGCCTATAAAATTTAACAAATTTAAATATTAATATTACTCTTCCATGCACATTTTTACTTAACAAATAATACCAAAGTTCCATTAATTGTATATGACTTAGCTTTTTATAGAAAATGTATACTACTTTTACATGTTGATGATTCCTGATATTTTTTTTTTGTATGATTTTTTGTTTTTACTTATATTATTAGTGACATTTTTTATTTTATTCTATTTAATTATAGAAATGTGTTTTTAATGGCTGTGGATTTATGTGTTTTTTGATAGTCAAATTATTAATTTTAAAAACTGTTGTGATCGTTACAGTAGAAACCCAAAAAGTATTTTTATTTTTAATTTTGTCATAAATTGTATTATATTCTTGAATTTACTGACTAAATTGTTCAGAATTAATATTTATGTTTTTTTTTTAAAAATTGTATTATATTTATTATATTTAAATTATTCTCAATTGGTTCACATTCATAGAGCAAGGTTATAGAAAATATTTGTGTATGATTAAAAAATATTTTTATTTCATTTTAAAGACTATGGGTTGGGTGCAATTATTTTCTTATTAGATTATTTCTAGTAAATTATGTATTTCTGATATAGTTAGAATAAAATTAATTACTTTAAGTATGATTCTTGTAGATTTTATACTTTTAATAGTTTTTGAATAATATTTTAAGTTTTAATTTTGCTATTTAATAAAGTAATTATATATCAATTTAATATTTGTTTTATTTAAATTTTGTTATTTTCTAAATTATTTATTTATATATATGCATTCATTTGTATATTATTATGGTAATTGTATTAGGAGGGGAGAAAAAATTAAATATTTTTAATTTATTACCCTTCCAAATTTTTCATTACCATAAAAAAATAATACGAGTTAAATTTGATGATTAATCATACCCTTCATGTGCTACAAAAGGGTTAAATATTACCAAACAAGATAATTTTAGGAGTTTCCTTATTTAATTCAAAATATATTGCATTAAGTGTAAAATTGTAGATTTAAATATAGTATATAAAAAATGTAATTTCAATATTTTTTGTTAATTTATTATTTTCTATGAAAAATAAAATAAAATATAAATTAATACCTTATTTAAAATAAATCAACATTCTCACAATTTTTTCAATATATTTACCAAATCATTGTTGTTATGATCACTTACAAACCTTTCAAGATAAAATTAATTAAAATTGTCTATAAATTATATTCTAAAGCTAGTGGTACCTACAATTATTTTTTCATAAAAAAAATGTGTACTCAAACATACTAAATGTCAACTTAGTCTTAAAAATTATCAGTTAATTTATACATATTGAATATTGTTGTGATTGAAATAAAATATTGGTTTAATCAAATAATAACAGTGGCGCATGCAGGGGAGGGGGTAAGGGGTTGTACACCGCCCACCCGAAATTTTCTCCGATGTCTAGGTTAAAATTTACAAATTTTACAAGTTTGAAATATGAAGAGCTAGTATTGAATACCTAGTATCATTGATTATTGAATAGTCTATTCTATTATCAATGCTATTATTTAAGTCAAAATATATTAAGGATTTGCATAATTTTGTTGATTGTAAAATGTGTTATATTTTTACCTTGACTCCGGCCAAAGCCCGCAACTAATAATAGCTAATAGCTAAATAATATTATATTTTCATAAGATGAAAACAATAAATGATATTATGTTAATCAATATAACAATATTATTTTATTGTACTATTATTATTTTTGGTGGGCGACAGCTTGTATAATAGAAGCAAATCGCTGAATTCTGATGTGCGTAAAAATTTTTTTTTTTTTATTACAACACATACTCGTATTTTTGTTTACGAAAAAAAATCTTTCATAAAAATTACAGAGTATACTGAAGGTTACTAAAAAGTATAGAGCAAAATAATAATACTCGGTTCTAGATATATTTAATACGTAAAGCCAATTATTTTATTTCATATAAAAATTTGGTGTTTCACAAAAAACTGTGTAGCTTATTTTCAAAATAGTTCAATATAGTATACATGGAAACATATAATTTCAAGATTTTGTTATATTTTTTTGACATAAGTTTAAACAGAAAATTCATTTTTTATGAAAAAATTATGATATTTTTTTAAAGAAAAGATTTTCTGTGGCTTGAGGCCGAATCTTCAGATTATATTATGCAATTCTAGTATATAATATGGTATATCTAAATCTAACACAACTAAAATATTGGCGATCAAAAACTTTTATGTTTGAGTAGGTCGAAACAGCATAGTGGTAAAATAACAAGAAAAAGATTGGCTAAACCGCAGAAGTACCCGTTTCAGCTTATTAATTTTGATTTTCTATACACTAGCTATTTATAAATAATGATTTACAGATTTACTATCTATTTATATTTACTTCATTAAGTATTTTGAATTGGAACTTTGAAGACCAAAATATAAATTATCATTTGAATGTTCTTATTATTCGGTTTGTGTGATTGTGTAACGCGCTTGTATTGTGTTGACCATTTTCGTTCGGTGTTTTTTTTTAACATGAAGTATTTATATTAGTTCCTTTTCTTTTATTAAAAAATGGCGAATAAAACGCGTCTAATTATAGATTCAAATCGTAAAAAAATAAGCCACTCTCTTGTATTTTTTGTGTATTATATTGTGTGGTATATGTTACAAATAATTCGAATTTTTCGATTTTGTCATTTTTAATTAATGTGTTTTTTGTGTATTTTTTAAAATTTATTACTTCAATGGTTTTGCCTTGGAAGCGGTTACCCATTTGTTCCAAGTAATTTAATTGGTCTATTTCGTTATTCGAATACTTGGTCCATACATTTTTCGAGTATTCGATTGCCTGTAGCCCTTCTTTCCGGTGATAGTTATTAACATTCATTTTTATTGAATTTAATTTAAGATCAGTTTCTGATTGTATGTTTTTATTTACATCAATAACTTGGTATACATGTGGGTGAGGGCTATATAATTGGTTATTATAATGCCTACGGAAAGCTTCAATTCCATTAGTTGTCTTGGTTGATCACCTGGTTTTCCAGCCCACAGAGATGGATTGAAGTTTGAATCAGGCAATATATATGATGCGAAAATATAATCAGAAAAGAATAATCCATCAGGTGAAGCAATAGCTATTAAATTTGAAAATGCTATTTTTATTTCTTCAGATGGCTAATACGGCAAACCAAAAAAATATTTTAGCCATTTACCTACCTCTGAATTATTATTTTTATACTCCCGTAATAATTTACTACTCTTTTGTATTCGACGAGACCATGATTGAGCTAAATGAAATGTACAGCATATAATTTTACACTGTAGAAAAGCATTTAAAATTGAGTTATGAGCTGATTTTTCAAAATCAACATGAAATTCTTTAATATTAAGAGTCCGATCGAGAATGTGCGTACAGAGATTTTGAAGTGTTTCCCACATACTTGTGTGTGTTGACGTATGTTTATCTTCTAAAAAACAAAAAAATACTGGTACGTAAAAAAAATGTTGATAAATGAGAATGGTATATAGTTGAGAAAATAATTTTGGGCAATACGAAAATGTTCCATCTCCAAATACATGTTTAGCGTCACATAAAGCACTTAAATTTGCTAAGCATGTAAACATTACTACAGAATTATCGTCACTGAAATACATGAATTGTTCATCTTTAAATTTTACTTCAAATTCTTTCAGCTGTAATACAGCCTCGTTAACAGTATTTGGGAGTTTCGGAAAATGTTTTTTTCTTGTTGCATACAATGAATTTCGTAACAAATGAATGTCACCATGATTTAAATTTAAATCGGATTTTAGTAATAATTCTTGTCTAATAATTTTACTTGGTTGTGTATGCATATCTTCAATGGCCTTTCTCTTAACAGAACTTCGGATAATATCTTTATGAACTTCGTTCTGAGAATATTCGCTGTGATTATGTTCGTTTTTACAATTAATAATAATTGTACACTGACTATTAAACGTAACCACTGATTTACATTTTTTATCGGTACACCGGAATAAAAAATTACCACATTTTAACTCTCTGTATTTCGAAAATTTAAAATTGTTTATAGACACACACATTTTGTCGCGACGCGTGTAGTATATATTAGATATTTCGTATTCCACGTTCGCTGTACGAGAGAAATGTCGAAACTAAAGTTGAAAAATTACGAAAATGTATATCAGTACAACAGTACCTATTAGTTATTTCATGGGTAATAAATATTGATAAAGTTTATCGAAGTATAACGAGCTGTCGAAATTATGGATAAATCCGTTATTTTCGACAAAACCATTTTTATTTTATTTAGGCCCGGTTTTTCATTCATCCAATTATTCGCTAGATACGTATCTGTCGGATAAATTTATCTGGCGGATAATCTTTCAAGTAAAGTGATTCCGGTTTTTCAATGTAATTTTATTCTCCAGATAGCTATCTGACAGATAAAGTTTTCGGCAGTAAAATTATACTAATAGAAGGTAGTTACTGTTCATTATGGAACAAGTTACACACATTTATTTGATTATGATTGGTCAATGATGAAATTGATAAGGAATTGTTCGGTGATATTGACACATTATTTATTGTAATACTGTATGTAATTACTAATCAATAATTATTAATTTTGTTGCGTGTTGAGTGTTGACTCTCGCTCGATATAAGTTATATTTACTTCTTTTTTCAACATGTCTCAAAAAAACATATCCAAAAAACAAAAAAATTTCACATTTTATGAAAAAAAACTTTTATTGAAAAATGATCTACAAAACCGTCACGCATTATAAAATAAAGTGTTAACTAATAAATTATGAACAACATTTTTTCCAAGTCTGAATCTCATCCTAAAATCATGGCCATCTCACGCCAGCATATGTTTTATTCTTTCGTATACAGAGTACAGACGACGTCAATAGTTCAAATATTTAATTGTTTCATAATCATCCTCTTCAAATAAATACATGTATATTGAAATTGAAATTGTGTATACATACACATATATATTTAAAATAATATGAAAAATTATGATAACTAACCATTTTTATGTTATCAGCTGTTAATTATCCGTCGAATAAGATTTATTTGATACAAAAAGTAACGGATAACTTATCCGTAACAATGTCCATCGAATAAGGTTTATCCCGACATTGAAAAACTGAAATGTATCAATTTTTTCTTATCTGTCAGATAACTCAAGTTATCTGACGAGTAAATGTGATTGAAAAACCGGGCCTTAGAAAACTTCTAAGTGGTTATTGGTTATCAATAAAATATGTCTACAAAATGTTGTGCGCTATCGAGTTGTTCCTTCTACAATAATTTGTGCGC